GTCAGAGGTGGCAAAGGGAGTCCCAGTTGGTCTAAAAAAAGCTTCATAACCCCAGGGCTTAGCTGGTGTGTGTGTGTGTGTGTGTGTGTGTGATGGTGGTGGGGAGTTGGGTGGGAACAAAGAACATATGCTGAAAATGTGGAAGCTTATCAAGGGGAGTTCTGTTTTCAAGAACAGGTTAAGGCTTGTTCCAGAGATCTAAAGACAGCCGCACACAGACTACCAGCTTTGACACTCTGGCTACAGGATGGTGGCAGCAGCATCTCCCAGCCTCCACATCTGCCAGATGCCATGAGGAAAGGTGCTGCAGTAAATTCTTTTGCAGTTAAGCACCACTGTGGTAGTTGTGGTGATGGAATGATGGAATGTACAAGCGTGTGTGTGTGTGTGTTTGTGTGTGTGTGTGTTTGTGTGTGAGTATGTATGTGTGCTTGCGTGTGCCATGCAATCATGGAGTTTCTGACGATGTGTAACTGAGCACTGAGCCCTCAAAGGAGCTTAAAGAAACCTTGGGAGGGGGGAAGGTCAAGAGATCGAAGTAAATTTCACCATAGGGCAGTTCCTCTGGGCTGGAGCGATAGCACAGCGGTAGGGCGTTTGCCTTGCACTCAGTCAACATGGCCGACCCGAGTTCGATTCCGTCACCCCTCTCGGAGAGCCCGGCAAGCTACTGAGAGTATCTCGCCCTCACGGCAGAGCCTGGCAAGCTCCCCGTGACGTATTCGATATGCCAAACACAGTAACAACAAAGTCTCCAATGGAGATGTTACTGGGCCCGCTCGAGCAAATCCATGAACAACGGGAGGACAGTGACAGTGACAGGGCAGTCCCCCATGCTACCCCACCCTCTCAAAGGAAATCTCAGCCGGAAAGCTAATATATGCCAGGGGCAAAACAGAAACTGCTTTGGCTGCAGCTGTGGGGGTGGTAGTGATGTGTAGTCAACCCCCCCCCACCCCCAACACATACCCCTGGCAGTGTTCCCTCACCTCTGGGGAAATCACTGGAAGGAATATAGATGTGTGAAGAATGTGGGTTAAATCCACTGCACAATCCAAGTCCTGCACTTTGCCAGGAAGGGAAGTCCAGGAAATGAAAGTGCTCCTAGTGTCAGGGGTTTGCTCCTGAATAACTAATAGCACACGCAGGACAGATCCATGCAAACCTGGAGTCTTCGCTCCCACTGCTCACTCACTTCTCTTCCGCCTTGTATGCACTCAACTGGATTTCTTCATTTGGACAAGTGACCCCAAACAGAACAAGAAAACCAAGGCACATAAATGGGTAGCAGAAAGGAAAAAATGACCTATGCTGAAACATATTTTAGAAAAGATATCATCCCCTACACAGAAAAAGAAACAAGCCATTTCTAGTTCCTTTCAAAGGACCCTCTGCTGGCATTTTTAGGAGCAGATTGCTACCTCATCCCAGAATGCCTCACAGTTGTTGGCAAAGATGCCTCCTGTTCCTTGGGCAGGATTTCTCCAGAGCCCATGGCCAACATTTTACTTAAGTGTTTTCTTCCTTTCTGTCAGTGGCAGCTACTGCTGCAAATTCTCCCTGCATCTCTGGGCTCAGAGTAGAGGGGGATAGGTTTATAAGCAGCCTTATCGAGAGTTACACATGCCAGCCAGAGGTCGAGAGCTGCTTTCCTGAGACATTGCATGCTCTAACCTACCTAAAATGGGCTTCTTCCATTCTCTGCGAATGTAGCCAATTGGAAGATGCTGTCGGTATACAAAAAGCCACGCCAGAACAACTGTACTACGGCATACAATAAAACATTTCACAAACCTTCACCAACCCCAAGGCAGACGGCGGGTCTAGGGTCCTAAGAGAGACTGCAAAAGAGACTATAATACACTCTAACAACTGGGGCAGTACGACCTCAAATATAATAATTTAATTAAGTCCACTCAGTTATTGCATTTCACGTATAGAAACCTGATAAAATAGGAGAGACTAATCTTTACTTTGACTTGCTTAAAACCATTGATTTATAAAGGACAATAAATTAAGGCTTTTAGTGCATGGTTTTGACTTCTCAATCACTTACTGGATGATTTATAATTATTAGATGGGCTGGAGCAATAGCACAGCTGGTAGAGTGTTTGCCTTGCACGTAGCCGACCTGGGTTCTATTCTTCCATCTCTCTCAGAGAGTCCGCCAAGCTACTAAGAGTATCCCGCCTACACGGCAGAGCCTGGCAAGCTCCCCGTGGTGTATTTGTAAGCAAAAACAGTAACAAGTCTCACAATGGAGATGTTACCGGTGTCCACTTGAGCAAATTGATGAACAGTGCTACACTGCAGATGTTTATCATATAAAGTACAAAATCCAGTAACTGTGACTTGGGTTTGTGTCCATAAGTCATAAAATAGAAGTTTCAAATAGGGAGAAATTAACTGTTTCTTACTGTTATTTACTTGACTATCAATTTGATAAGAATAAAAAAACAGTAATGTTACATATCTTGTTATTATGTTTTAGATTCAAGTTCTTTTAAACACCCAGTGAAAGTGAATTTCTACAAGTAGACATGTGCTTTAACCCTTTTAAATTAGTTGTGTACATACACATTGAAAACATTAATCCTGCTTTGGGATCACATTCAGTGGTGTTCAGAGTTTACTCCCAGCTCTGCACTAGGGATTAACTCCTGGTAGGGACTGGGGGAACAATGGGGTACCAAGGGTTAAACCAAATTGGCTGTGTGCAAGGCAAGCACCCTACCTGCTGTACTATCTCTCCAATCTCCTAGATTGAGTTATTTTAAAAAGAAAAAGATTATCCTTATTTTCAAAAGTGGTTCAAAATAAAGTTCTTAATTCCCGAGGGGGGAAAAAAAAAGAAAAAGAAAAAAAAAAGAAAATCTCAATCCTCTAAGTAATAAAAGAAGCAGAATTACCTAAGGGTGAAGTCATATGACTCCCAACTTAGTATTAAATTCATAGATGAAGGCATTCACTTATTTCCAGTAAAACACTCCTCATGAGTACTATTCAACGAAAGCCCACTACTTTGAGGGAACAAAAATATCGGTCACTTCTAATTTTTCACTAGAGTATTTTTTCTTGCCAACCTTGAACAGATCTTGTTAAAGAAGTTGAAATGTTTACTAGCCAACACTTTTTCCAGCAGCAATGAACTCACGGTAATTCTAATCGCTAATAAAATGCTGTTGGATTATTCATCAAGATGACATACATATGTACATATATATATACACACACACATACATGAATCTACATATCCATATACACACATGTGCAGACACACTAACATGTACATTCAATATAAACTTGAAAGCCACCTCAAATCTTAAACTTAAATAGCAAGTGACGTGATTTATTTCATTCAGCACTAAAATGCCAGGGTAGGTACTGCCCTCTGTGACACAGCAGCATCTCAGCAATTTATTTCTTACTAAGCACAGTTAAGGAGACAGAGACAAAGGAAAAAGTCATTTCCTCTTTTAATTCAATCTTCTCAGAATTATGAGCAGCCTATAGTGCTTGGGGCATAATTAAGAAATTATGATAATTTTTTGTGCATTTTAATGGTAATTTAGTCTCCTTTCCCTCCACTTTAGAAGGAAATTGTAATTACCAATCTTCATTTATGATAAGTGGCAATAACACATTTCCATTCTATTTTGTATCACCATAAGCCAAGAAAACTTAGATATATCATGGGGGATTAGGCCAAACTCATCAATGCCTTCCAGAACAGACATGAATAATTTATCATCTGAAACTTGATATGATGGATTTGATTCAAACATGAGAAATTTCATTAGCCCATGACAGTATCAAACAATTAAAAGGGTTATGTGTTTAAGATTTTTCACAAATATTTAAGTCAAGAATATATATATACAATATTACATAAATATTGAAATACAGATTAACATTGTTGAGATACATCTAAATTTATCATAGGCATTTAATTCATTAATAATTCTTTACTTTTTTCAAATAACAAAAGATGCCCATCACCATTTCCTCACCTTCAAACATTATCAAGGTAAAAATTTTGGGGGAGGATGGAGGGAGGGAGAAAAGAAGAAAGGAAGGAAGGAAGGGAGGGAGGGAGAGAGGGATGGAGGAAGGAAGGAAATATGGAAAATAAAGATTTGTAGTTATTATATCCCAAGAACATTAGAAGTTAGAGAAGATTAATATAATTTCCATTTATTTCTGTTTATCACAATTATGACAAACATCAATTTACCCTCCAAATTCTAATGGATTGGCTTTTGGATCTTTAAGAAATAATTTTATGTCACTAATAGCAAGCTTAAGAGCCCAAATTAACCACCTGGCTAAGCTTGAGACCGAGACTCAGTTCAGGAAAACAAAAAAGTAGCAGACTAGAGTTGGGCTGGCAGACAGATGCCAAGTGGGTCTACAGAGGACTAAAGGGGAAATGCAAATACAAATAATTAGAAAACTATAAATCAAAGCAAGGCATTATTATTACTAAAGGTAACAATTAATGATGATAATAACAATTCTATCTTCGATGTTTAATTTTTCAAACCCACATGCCCAGTACCATAATGAATGAAAATACAGGTAGGGAAATTAATAGTCAACTACAGGTTTCTTTTTTCCCCCAGAGCATTGGATAAGAAAAACCATCAGCTCCAAAACTCTACGCTGTGGAACCAGTAGAAGGTTCCTGTAGTTTCAGTCATTTCCACTTGACTGAGACATTTCAGATGACTGAATTCTTTTTAGAGTTTAGAATCTGCATTATTTTCAGAACCTTAGAGAAATTACATCTCCTCTTTTCCAAGAACTATACATAGTGTTTAAAGTCACTGTAATGGAGCAATTAAAACTAAATTTTTATATGATTGATTCAATATTTTTCTTCTATAAAGATTGACACTAAAAGAATAAACAAGCCCATAGATTTAGTCACTGGGCCCAAACACACACATTATATAGAATTTTTACTAAAACATGGTTATTGGGACTAAGTTTTGTGTTACCTCTGGGACTCCTAATTTTCGGCATGCTTCCAAAAAGTTTTCCACATTTCTTCTGCATTTCGCCATGCTAAGTTTGGGCTATTAATAAAAATATGCATAAATGATTAATTACTAAAACAGTAATAAATCTTAACAGTTAAAAATCTTAAACTGTCTAGATGAAATAAGAAATACGTATTAAGGAAAATATCATAAACAAACAGAAGACAATAAAACATTATTGAAAACTGTCCACTTAGAGACAAGGCCTAATAAAAGTTTGCATCATATTCTTCCTGATATTGTGTGTTTATACATCATATATGTATATTTATAGCTATGTATATATAGAGAAGTGCAGATATAAAGTCTATATTCATTTATGTATGCATGCATAATATGCATACAAATGATGTATTGTCTATAAATACAAAATGTTCTGTATGTATGTGTATGTACACACATAATTTTTATGGGTTCATATCATTATGAACCTTATGGTATATTATTATATACCATATAATAGGGTTGGAGCGTTAGCACAGCTGTAGGGCGTTTGCCTTGCATGCAGCCAGCCTGGCCGAGCCGGGTTCGATTCCTTTGTCCCCTTCGGAGAGCCTGGCTAGCTACTGAGAGTATCTTGCCTGCATGGCAAAGCCTGGCAAGCTCTCCATGATGTATCCGATACGCCAAACACAGTAACATCAAGTCTCAAAATGGAGATATTACTGGGCCCGCTCGAGCAAATCGGTGAACAATGGGAGGACGATGCTACCATATAATATAAACCATTATCACTTAATCACTTAATCCCCGTTATTCATCGATTTATTCGAGCGGGTGTCAGTAACGTCTCCATTCATCCCGATTGCGTGCTAGCGTAGCCCAATGGTATCTGTTCGTTCTAGGAACATGCAGAGCCTCAAACCGATCATTTAGGGTCTTGACGAAGAAGTCTGACCATCTTATAGGTGGGCGTCCACGTGATCTTTTGATGTCCCGTGGAATCCAATCAGTAATGGCTCTAGTTCAGCGGTTGTCTGTAAACCTCATTACGTGTCCAGCCCATCTGATTTTTGATGCCTTGGCAAATGAGACAGCGTCCCTGATTCTTGAGCGTTGACGAAGATCAGAACTCCGGATTCTATCTCTCATTTGAGTGAATCGTGATATTCCAAGCATAGTTCTTTCGATTCCTCTTTGAGAGACCCGAATAGCGTTCTCATCCTGTTTTCGTAGGGTCCAGGTCTCTGAGGCATATGTTAATGCAGGAAGAATAGTGGAATCAAAGAGATGTGCTCGTAGCTGGAGGTTCTTTGTCCTTTTAGTTATTTCTTCAATGCTCTTGAAGGCATTCCAAGCCGCTCTCTTCCTCCTGCGCAACTCAGGTGCCAGGTCATTCATCATGTTGATTTCTCGACCTAGGTATATATAACTGTTGCATTCGGAGATGGTGGTTCCATTGAGAGCGAATGGAGCATCAGGAACAAGGCTGTTTCTCATAAACATTGTCTTCGTAAGATTCAGCTGTAGTCAGACCTTTCCACATTCATGGTCAAAGTCGTTCCGCATTTGTGCCTCTTGGCTGATGTTTGGTGTTATTAGAACGATGTCATCAGCAAACCGGAGGTGGTGTAGTTGCCGACCATCTATCTTCACTCCCATGTTTTCCCATTCCAGTCGTCGCATGATGTTCTCGAGGGTGGCACTGAAGAGTTTTGGTGAAATGGTATCACCCTGCCGAACCCCTCTCTTGATATGGATGATACTTCTTTGTAGAATGGTGAGATCTTGGTAGTGAATCCGCAATAGAGCTCACGAAGGATCCTGATGTATTGAGTTTGTACGCCCTGATTGGCTAGGGCTTCCATGACCGCTTCCATCTCAACAGAATCAAAGGCCTTCTTTAAATCAATGAACGTTAGACAGAGCGGCATCTTGAACTCCCGAGATACCTCAATGAGCTTGGTTATTGTGTGGATATGGTCGATGGTACTGAATCCTTTTCGGAATCCAGCTTGTTCACATGGTTGTCCTTCATCTAGTGTTCTGCTAATCCTATTCAGGATGACTCGAGTGAATAGTTTGTAGATGACAGACAATAGGCAGATTGGGCGATAGTTGCCAATGTCGTGGATGTCTCCTTTCTTGTATAGTAGTACAGTCCTGCTGGTTTTCCATTGGGATGGAACCTTGCATTCAGACAGGTAGCGTGTGAAGAGTCGAGCCAATGTATTGATGAGTACTGATGGTAAGTTCTTCAGGTGTTCAGGTCTGATCTTGTCTGGGCCAGGTGCTCTTTGTTTCTTTACCGACGAGATGGCATGTTGGATTTCGGAAGGGAGAACATTGGGAACGACATATCCATCATGTGGTATGTGGTATGTGGGCAAGTGGATGTGGCTATTAAAGAGATCTGGGTAGAAGTCATGAATAATCTTCTCCATTGCCCTTCTGGAAGATGTGATAGATCCATCATGATGTCGGAGGGCAGTCATCTTGGTTTTGTAGTTGGTGAAGGACAGGCGGGTATTACGAATGTTTTTCCCAGCTTCTGCTGCATCTACCAGTACTGCTGCTCTCCTGTTTTTGAGGTCATCCTTGATGGCTTCTCTGTACTGTTTTGCCAGTTCGGATGTTCGCTTGTGGTTGCCTGAGGCATGTGCCAAGCCATGTTGGCGAATAAGTTCAAGAGTGTTTGAAGAAAGACGGGTTTTTGTGGTTATCTCTCTCTTGGCATTCCTTGCATTTACACAAACTGTGTTCTGGACAGTGTACATAAACCATTATGTATCATATAATTTTTATGGTTCGTAACATTAAATAACCTGTTTTAGATGCGCCTAAAAACACACCATACATGTCACTATTTTCCATCAGTAAATATATTTCCATGAGAAGATTAAAATTAAAAAGAAAAATTAATCATCCCACCAAAGCAATGGCTTTAACCATCACCAAATTTATGACTTATTTACTTTTTTGAAACTAATAATAAAAAAAGATTTCCTCTATTCCCCTCCTCAGCCCTCTCCTCCGAAAAGGAAACAAGCCTGTTTCCATCCAGAAGAATTAATTTGGGCGCTACACAAGTATTGTCCATCTTGACTAGAGACCAAATGCTGCCCATCAACAGGAGCCCTGCAAGGATAGACTAAGGAGCTCCTCCCCGCCCTGCCAGGTAGGTCTCGGGGCAAGACCACCACAGTCAAGCTAAGAACAGTTATGGGCCTTCTGACTTGTCATTGTTTAACCCCTTATGAGAAATGACTTCACATTCCTGTATATTAAAAAGCTTCCACCAACCACTTTTTTGCTTGAAATTTGAAATTTGACCCTTTCTCATCATTTATATATTTATTTTAGATACTCTCCCTTATTTTTTTTTAATTTTTATTAGTGAGACATCATGAGGTACAGTTGTAGACTTACAAATTTTTGTGCTTGGGTTTCAATTATACAATGATCAAATACCCATCCCTCCACCAGTGTCCATTTCCCATCACCACGGATCCCAGTATCCCTCCCACCCCCCAACCCCCCATCCCACACTGCCTCTGTGGCAGGGCATTCCCTTTTGTTCTCTCTCTCTTATTGGGTGTTGTGGTTTGCAAAAGAGGCAATGGGTGACAATCATGTTTGGTCTATAGTCTACTTTCAGCATGCTTCTCTCATCCTGGGAGGATCCTCCCAACACCCTTTATTTGGTGCTCCCTTCTCTATCTGAGCTCCCTTTTCTCCTAGCATGTGTGGTTGGCCTCCAAGCCATGGAGTAAAATTCCTGGTACTAATCTTGGCCATTCTTGAGTGTTAGTCTCCTATTATGTTACTTTATGTTCCCCAGATGAATGCAGTCTTTCTATGTCTATCCCTTTCTTTCTGGATTCTCTCCCTTCTTACAGTAAAAATGCTGTGTCATTTAGATATTCCTTTTCTACTCTTCTAGTTGCTGGGGCCCCGCCAATGAATTTTAATAGGGTCCTGGTGAGTCTATTGGCATCTTTAATCAGCAACACTGTCCAGAACACAGTTTGTGTAAATGAAAGTGCATTTCCATTTATACAGATGACTTACAACTGCTGGTGACGGAACATGGATGCTAGCGACAGATCGGGGGCGAATATGGTTTACCAGGTGACAGAGAACGACGCCATCCATGAGCGCAGCCCCCAGGTCTTCATGAAGGCTGACCTTGAGCCTCATCTCAATGCTCTGTGGGGGAGGGAGAAGAATTCCAGGTGCTATTAGACAACCAACGGTCAAATACAATTATGGGTGCTGAAGAACTAAGACATTTGGTGCTGTAGTGGCAGAGCAGGAGGAGAGGGGGTGGGAGATTTAGGGAGAAGCACAAGAATACCTAGAAAATGCCATGGCCATCTTCCCAAAGAAGTTAAGGTCAAATAATTCAGTAGTAAAATAAACTGAGCAGTCTCTAAATCTTTAACTAGCTGAATTACGGAATAGTGGGGAAAAAAATACACCGAGTTCACTGTTAACCTAGCTGTTAAAATATAAAAGCAGAGTGAGCTGACAAAAACCAAATCTGAGTGTTTCAGATATGTAACAAGAGGGCAGCAAAGGGATCGAGAGAAGCTTCTCTCTGAGGTTGTTTTAGCTGAGAAATCAATTCATATCTTTTTTTCCAAAACGGCAACTTTTAAATTTTGAGATAATTATATAGTCATAAATAATTACAAGACACTATTAGGGATCTCACCTACCACCTTTAACACAAAGGTATCAACTTGCCAAAGCTAGTAAAGTATCACAACCGGACATGATGGCCCAGAGAACCTCTAGCCGCGTAAGGCACTGAATCCACATGTTGTTCGATTAATACCACCCCACTTCTTTTTCATACCCTAAGAACTGCACTTCAGCCCTGTTCCCTTTCTCCCACCCTCCCAGAGCATCCAAGATACATGTTGGCAAGTTTGTGCCCTCCCATTGGTCCCAGAGGACCTTATTTCTCTTCAGTCTATTCTCTCTGTTGTTTAAATGACTCTAATGTTCTTATTTCTAGTTCACTGATGCTTTATTTTGTTACTCTCACTCTACTGATGAGGCATTCACTAAGGATTATTTTGGTAGGGTGGAATAAAGTCCAAGTGGCTTACTTGCATCCTGGCTCCATGCCCAGGGGTGGTACTTGGGGGATCGTATGGTGACAGGTATCAAACCCTGGCCTCCTGCTTGCAGTATCAGTGCTCTGCCTATTCAGCTATTACTCCAGGCAGTGCTATACTTCATTTGCTTGGTGCAATGCTATTGATGGAACTCAGATCCTAAACATGTAAGTCAGCATTTCTGGGATCAAGCATGGCACCTGAAGAAGTTTCTGTGCTAAAATTTTTTCCTCCTTGCTACAGCTAAACCATATGGAAAGTACCCTCTGCAACAAAGATGCTAATCTACCTTAAATTTAACTTTACTTTTATTCACTGGATTCATTGCTTGTTTGTGCAACTCACTGAAATCTATAACTGGATAATTTTTTCACGTCTTATTTTCTGCCTCTTCCTAACAGCTCATAGGCTTCATGACAGAAGAGACATTTTTCTCCTTCCTGCACTGCCTGATATGGAGTACCTATCAATATGCATTTGTTAAAGGAAATGATGAAACATAAAACCTGTCTCCTCCAAGAACTTTTCTTGTACTTTTTATAGTTTATTACTATGGCACATCAGATATTCTGACCAGTTTGAGGTACAAAGTAAGAATAACTATATCCCTAAATCAATGGAATACCATCATTAGATACATACATGACAGTTTTCATTTTTAAAATACGTTTGCAGCTAGAGGGATCGTACAGTAAACAGGGTGCTTACCTTGCACAGGGTTTGACCCCCGGCACCCTATATGGTCTTTAAAGCCTACCAGGAGTAAGTAGAGCCAGGAGTAAGCTTTTAGCATTCAAGGGGCATCCCTCAATCTTCCAAAATAAAAGAATAACTGAAATAATACTATCCTTTATATATATATATATATATGCATTATATAATTCTACTTACTTTATCTCATATAGTTCTCAGGGAAAAAAACCACGAATGTGAACTAGTGTTATTTTTTAAAATATGAGAATACATACTCAATGATATTAACTGACTTGCCCTGTATCAGTCACCAGATGATCTGGTTAGATTTGAAACTATGTCTGCAATGCTTCAGGATCAATTTCTTTAAAAAAATTTTTTTAAAAATTCCAGAATTTTGCTTCCAGTCTGAAAATTATCATTTGGCAATATAGTTTTTTGGAGGGGTACCTCACGAAGTTGTTCCACCAATTCTTTTTCTTCTCTCATCTGTTCCATTTTCCTCCGAATTGTAAATTGTGGGTCTATAGATTCCAAATTTCTCTGAGGTCTTAGAAAGACTGTAACAGAAAGGAAAAAAATAATGGTTTTACTGAGTGCCTAGTATGAGCTGCTATATTATAGCTAAACGTCCACTTAAAATTTCTTGATTTAACTCTCCAAATTTTAAACCCCCATTTACAGTTTCTTGATTTTTCTTCCAGAATTCATTTAGTCTCAGAAACATATTAAAAAGATAATTTTACATGGAAAGTTTGGTTTGAATATTTTACAGAAGATTACATTTTATGTTATACTGGTTTACATGAACTAACACAGGCTGTATCTTTGGTCGGTCACAAATGGAATCCATGAAAGTGTTGGGTTATCCTTGGAATCATTCAGACGCCCCAGGCACCGCTGACAAATGCCCTTTCTCTCAGTTCCCACTGCTTCAGTGAGGGTACATGCGATAAGGCACTCTCAAGAAATGACGAGGTAAAAAAAACATAAACCTGCCACTTAGACTATTGGTTAATCAAAAAGTTGACTTCTAGAAGGATGACCACAGACCCTTTTATGTGGACAAGATTAGAGGCTATTTAAAAAAGGATCCTTGGCTTCAGGTCCTTAAAATGACAACCTCTACGAATAGCAGCAAATAGCAGCACTTCCCTTGGAAGGAGTTAAGCTTTGGTTCTGGAGAAAGTCAAAGTTCTAAATTTTGGAAGAATAGCATCTTTTAGGCTAATAAAGAAAGTACAAAATATACTGTGACATCTAGGATCTTAGCCAACTTGCTTTTGCTTTCTTCTATAATGCCCAGGAAAGACATTGTACTTAAATTTCTTTCTTTCCTTCAAGTACCTTTATAGCATATGAAAACTGTCAACTTTCCATCACATAAGAGGGAGTGCAAACAGCTGCTACGAGCTGTATTTGGTTTCCCTTGTATCATAGACTTTTGAATTGCATGTTTATTTCAGGAAGCGAATGGGGATTTTGGAGCTCTTCTGATATTTTAGGCAAAGAACTAAAATTTTACAAGTCACTATTACATAAAAGTCTGAACTGGCATATGGCAAAACTAGATGCTTCAATCACTATGATGTAAATCACATAAAATAAAAACGCCAGGTGACATTTTTCTATTCTGACAAATACTTCCTATGGGCCATCTTATAAGCTATTTAAATGTATTATTTTAAAATTAAATATGATTTACTAATGTACTTAAAGCTTAAAAAAAGCAATCTGAGTCACCACTCCATATTAATAGTTACTCTGTACTCACACAAACATTTTTATCTCAATTTGTATCTTTGGACTAATCATGTTAATAAAGACTTTCATTATCCTACTTACAACTCAGGATCTCTAAGAACTCTAAATCAGTTATAGGTTATGTGAATCAATGTTCTGATACTTTCTATCTTTGATTCATACACAGCTAATGGAGAAAAGGGAAGGTCTGCAGTGTCATGGTTAATTTGGCCTAAGATCTAGGCTTCTGTCTCACTCACAGAGGACAGACAGAAGGAGGCAAAAATGGAGTCAGGGAAATAATTCCAGTAGTATGAGCACATGTCTATCACATATGAGCCACAGACATGTCCTTTCCACACTGCTGAGTATGGCTCCTACTTAAAACAATGAACAACAACACATCCATCATTTCTGAAAGAGTGAAAATCCTGTCTCCACAGGAGCAAGACCTACAAATGCCAGATTCCAAATTCCACAGTAAATGAGATCAATTGTTTCAAAAATAAAGCCTACAAATTTGAGTAACTCCAGCAAGGATCAGACCTAAGGAAGATGAGGACAAGTCTGACAAAATAGAAACCATGGAAAAAGATCATAAATCCACTAAACTTGCCTTTATAGTATATTAAGTCCAATACAAAATGCACCTTTTGAATAAATAATCAGGAAAGAGATACATTGAAATGTCAAATCTAGGAATAATCCACGTCTGGAAGGAAAACAACTCTACCAAATTTACCAAAAACGTTCAGCAATATGGACAGAGTTGTGCAATACATATACCAGGCAGCAAGGGGAGCCCTAAAACTATTTAAACAAATCTAATATTTTCTTTGGAGGTTTTATTTTCCTTCGCCTTTTTTTTCCTGGGGCAATCTTATCTAATATTGTCCATGTTTAATATTTTCAATATGTTTTTATTGGCAGATTTTATTCTGAATATGAAACTATCAGGAAGTTCAATTAGCTAGTGAGGTTTTGTTTAACAGCGCACAATTCAAGTGTCTACGCCTTGTGAAAACCCTATACGAGATAACGAGAGTATGCAATGGTGTCTGGGTTTTAATATCCCAGTGCTGACTTTCATCTTAAATTCCTTCACATCTTAAAAATACAAAATGCATGCATGTGTAAGTGTTCTTTAAATGCTAAGCAACAGAATGAGTTCAAACATATTTGGACTGTGGTATTTCAACCAAGTACTTCAAATGGCTACAAAATTATTGGAACCATGACTGTAACATTACAGTTACTAAACAAATTGATTGCTGTGGAAGAAATGAGAATCTAAAACAAACTTTTTAATTTAATAATAAATCTACAAACACATCAATTTATTCACTGCCACTGTCACTGTCCTCCTGTTGTTCATTAATTTGCTCGAGTGGGCCCAGTAATGTCTCCATTGAACTGAATAATTTTTGTGGAACATCATGACAACTCATTATGTTAAGGAAAATTTTTTCTTTTCAGATCCTATTTAAAAATAAATGTGCTGTTGTGGCTGGAGAGATAGCACAGCGGGTAGGGCTTTTGCCTTGCACGAGGCCAACCCGGGTTCGATTCCCAGCATCCCATATGGTACCCTGAGAACCACCAGGGATAATTCCTGAGTGCAGAGCCAGGAGTAATCCCTGGGCATTGCCAGGTGTGACCCAAAAAGCAAAAAAAATAGTGTGCTGAACAGGCTGACAGAAAGCTTCAGGAAAATGGTCTATGGAAAATTATTCTGTCTTTCTTTCATTTTATATCACTAAATTTCAATTCAATTTTAACCACATTACTTAGTTTAGAGGAATGAAAATTTAATTTAATGATACAAAGAAATATTAAGAACAATACTGGGGCTAGAGTGATAGTCCAGCGGGGAGGACATTTGCCTTGCATGCAGCTGACCTGGGTTCGATCCCAGCATCTCATATGGACCCCCAAGCACTGCCAGGGGTAATTACTGAGTGCAGAGCCAGGAGTAGCCGCTGGGCATTGCCAGGTGTGACCCAAAAGGCAAAAAATAAAATAAGAAGTTAAAAAAAAACACAATACTTTTCAAATGAAATGTTATCCTGATGTTAAGTGTGAATAAGAAAGAAGAGTTAAGTGTGTCTGAGTGGTAGGGTATGTGCATAGTTGGTGTGTGCACATATGGATACACACCTACAGTGGAGGAAGAAGCAAAGAGGCAGATACTTTGGGGGGCAGGGGGTTTGGGCCACTCCCTGTGGTGCTAGCTCTGTGCTCGTAGGTAACTCCTAGAGGTGCTTGGAGGACCACACTGTGCCAGAGCTTGAACCAGAGACAGCTGTGTGCAAGACACGTGCCTTCACTCCTGTACTCTCTCAGGCCCCAAAGCAGGTGGGAAAAAATAAGCCTGCTTAACTCTTTCTTACTGTATATTAAGTAAATACCATTCAAAAGATGGAAAAGATGGCTTTCTTATGTTTGTAATTTGCTAGAAAAACTTCTAAGCAAAGGCCTTGCAGGAAATGATAAGTATGCTTATACAGGCACAGGCCAAATTCCACTGATTTTTCTATTATATCGACCCCTCTCTCCTCATCCTCTTCTCCACTGGGGATGTACAAAATGCCCTGTCTCTCTGTGGTGCTCATTGCTTTCTATCCTACAGTATAGACCTATTTTTCTCCATTACGACCCTAAACATTTACATCTGTTTCTAATTTGCACCTTTACCCTACCCACTGTTTATTGAATGAAGCTAAAGCAAATCATTAAAAAATGCCTTCATTCAAAGATGAGTGTAATTGGAGAATATCTTTACAGTGTTTTTCCTACCCTGATAATCAGTTGCTAAATTTTTCCTTTCATGAAATGTCCTCTGAAGTTTATTTTTCAGGTCCGAATGCATTAGGTTCCAAAAGGAAAGTTTGGTGAATACAGAGATCTCATCTGTCTTTTCCAGTGCTCTGTCCACAGTAATTTAGATCATGACTAGCATATACAAGGACTCAGTATTTAAGGACGTGCACAAGAAGCGACTCCTCTACTTTTTGCCAGAATTTAAGAACAAAAAACACCCAATTGCTATTGCTAGAGCAATAGTGCAGTGGATAGGGCATTTGTTTTGCATGCAGCTGATCCAGGCTTGATCCCCAGCATTCCATATGGTCCCCCAAGCACTACCAGAAGTAATTTCTGAGTGCAGAGCCAGAAGTTATCACTGGGCATTGCCGGGTGTGGCCCCCCAAACCAAAAACAAACAAACAAACAAACAAAAACCAACCAATCAAAACTCAAAAAAACAAAACAGGAAAAAAAAAGTCAAACCCCAAATCAAATAAACAAAATACCCACCCAGCTGGACCAGAAAGATAGTATAACAGGTAGGGTCTTAGCTTTGCACGCAGCTGACCCGGGTTCGATCCCTGGCACCCATATCACCAGGTATATCCCATTTCTCCCACCACCACCCTTTAAGAAAACCTCAAAACAAAAACATAAAACAATTAAAACTGCCATGGTGAGAATCACTGAAACAGCTTCCACAGTCTTAATTCCCACTTTTCTGAAATGGGAAAAATACAGATACATGCAAGATTCTTACTAAAAATTTCCAAACAAATGTGTAAGCTTGTCCAGACATGGGTAAGTCTGTTCATTCATTCTCCGGTGGTGCTTTAAGAATAAATCTCAGATAAGGTAAACTCGCAGCCACGTATTCATTGTAAAAAAGGGACAATGGCTCAAAAGAAGAAAAAGATGTGGGTTTAACTCAGCATGATGGGGAAGAAAAATCAAGAGAGACATAAACTAGCAGATGGCACAAGAGCAAGGAAAGAGCAGAAGTTCAATTTGCAAGTGAAGAACAGACTGAAAAGCAGCTGCCTGCACCTCAGGAATGAGCATAGTTCCAGACATCCTCCCCAGCCATCTAAGGAGGTGTGATCTTTTGGGGAGGGGGGTAGGCACTGGAGGGATTTAGACCACTAAGAACTTATGTCTGCTTGCCATCTAAAACTTTTGTAGAATGAATTTTATAGAAAATGAGGTCTTTTGAAATGAGATATACTTAGAACAAATATTTCTAAGAAATTAAGGGGCAAGGGATTTTAGGACAAATCAAGACCGAGAACTAAGTATAAAAATCCCAACATTATAAAAAAAATAGGGGTGTGTGTGTGTGTGTGTGAGTGTGTGTGTGTGTGTGTGTGTGTTTTACATTATGCTTGGTAATTACCTTGGTTGTGTCTATTTACAAAGGTTAAGAAAGCTACAGGAATTGGATGGCAAAGAAAATACGAGGCAACAAAGTTAACCTGAACAATAATCAGTGCCAAAAAGCCAAGAGTGGCTGCTGAATAGGCCCTCCTCTTAGGAAGGAGCAGTAAAAACCTGAAAAGAAAGGCTTCTACTTGTAACATTAGCTAATGCACATGTGGATATGTACAGTACATTTTCTTTAGTTTAAGACCACGAGGCAAATCTTGATACAAAAAAGAATGAAAAATTGCTTAGAGGCCAGCCGGGCATTCTAGGGGAAAGGGCAGCTCAGATAGAGAAGGGAACACCAAATAAAGGGTGTTTGAAGGATCCTCCCAGGAGGGGAGATGCATGTTGAAAGTAGACTATGGACTGAACATGTTTGCCACTCAATGCCTCTTTTGCAGACCACAACACCCAAAAGGAGAGAGAAAACAAAACGGAATGCCCTGCTACAGAGGCAGGATGGAATGAGGGGGATAGGGGTGGGAGGGATACTGGGATCCATGGTGGTGGAAAATGGGCACTGGTGGAGGTGATGTAGGCAGGTAGATAGGGAAAGGCTCTCTGCAATGAAACAAAGTCTCAGAAGAAGAATTCTAGGACCGACCCATCCTGTGGACAAAGAGAATAAAGACTTGATAAGATCATCCCCAGACCCTGAAGATATGGGCCTCCTCCCCATGAAATTCCTCCTTTCCGAAAACCCCCTTTCAATCCGGTTAACTCCAGCGACCCAGCCCCAAGGAGATTCCAGAACATTCTGAGTCAGAAGGATCTATAAGAACCAGCTCGAGAGCCCACTTGGCGCTCTCTCCACCCTCGGAGAAGCCCGCGTACTTCAGGTGTGGCTTGACGGCCACCTTGTGGGGCTGGCGGGGCTTAGGCCCGTGCCGAGCAGGTGCTCACTGCAGACTTTACCGGTCCTAGCCTACCCAGGGTCCCGGGTGGCAGAGGCGGGTGGGGAGAAAGTGACCGTCTTTCTCTTCCCCACTTCACATAAGTCACCCGTGGGGGCCACCGACATCACAGGGATGGGTACTTGATCATTGTATAATCGAAACCCAAGCACAAAAATTTATAAGTCTACAACTGTACCTCATGGTGTTTCACTAATAAAAAAAAAAGATTACAAAAAAAAATATGGAAAATTTAACAGACATTTGTAAGCAATTCTGCACAGAAAATGATGAGAGACATTTCAAATCGAGATGAATAACAGCCATCAGACACAGGGTGTGGCTGACCAGACAGCACCTGGAAAACTTCGCCTTTATTATGGTGGTGGTTCAAGACAACTGATAAACATGAGTCCCAGGAACATTCACTCATATAAAAATTAGCAAGAAAGTCACGTAAATATTACATTTTCAGAAGGAATTGCACCATGATTATTTTCTACGGAAACCTTGAGATTTCTATTTAAAGAAAAAGATAGTCTGCTTAATAGTTTGTGAGTCTCCAAGAAACATCTACAGAACTACTGCCTGAGAGTTAGAAGCCCTGGGTGGAATGTGACTCCATCTTTGCCTCCAGCAGTGTGCCCCTGAGGGGGTCGATGCCTTATCTCTTCTGATGGCTCCTCTGTAGACTAGAAATTCTACTGATATGTAAGGTATCTGAATCTTTCCCAGCTTAAAAGAATCCTCTGGTTTCAGATATCGCTCCAAGGAAATACCACATCACACATAAATCTTTCATTCTAGGTTTCATTTCCTTTATAAAACAGCAGATCCATAAATAGCCATGCTTTCTGAAAAACAAAAATGCTTGTCCTCTTTTTAAAAATTTTAAATAAAGTTTATCAACAAAGTTACCATGTGACCCTCTTCAACGTTCCATCCAGAATTTAAAACATGACATGAGGCCCTTTCATTTTACTGACATTGTTTAATCAATACTTTCAAGCTAAGACATATTTTCAGTTAAAACACAAGAAATCTATAAGATAATAAAATTTCTTTTTCAACTAACTTGTCAAAAATGCATTATCCTTATATATAAAACTGGAAAAGCACGTTTGCTTGTGTTATGATCAGAATTCAGAACAACTGTTGCAAATGTTTTTCTTCATATACGTACAGCATACTAACATTTTTTAAAAGTGCTAGTGAATATATTTCTATTGTCTTTGTATTGTGGTTGCCTTATATCTCTTATTTCACTACTATTCCTTACAAATGAAATTCCATCACATTTGATGTTACTTTTAATCACTTTCTATTTGGAAGTAAAATGTCTAAAATTTATCTTTCAACTAGGAGATTCAGACTTATGAATTATATAGCTATATTTCTTTTATTTTCACCCCCTTGGCCTCTTAAGTTTACTGGAATGAAATTAAAAATCAGAGCAAAGAGTCCTCAAATTTTTATTTGCACATTTGGTTCTCAGGGCAAGTTACTACTCTTGAACGCATAGAAAGTCAAAATGTGAAAACACTTCTAATTAAAAACAAAGTCCAGTTATTTCTATTTTATTTATTTGGAGAGAGAGATTGGGCCACATGAGGCAGTCCTCAGGGCTCACACCTGGCTCTGCTCAGGGGTTCATATGTGGTGTCAGTGACTGAACCCCGGCTGGAGGCATACAAGGCAAATGCCATGCCTATTCTACTATCTCTCCAGTCCCTTATTCCTCTGGTAGAAATTTCTCAACATTAGTATTACATTCAGTGAGCAATTCATGAATCAGTCACAATGTGTCTAAATTACCTTGAAAATTTTATATAGTAAGCATGGGTAATAAAACATCCAACTCTGAAAGCATTTTGTTTAGATACAGGATCAAGTGGAGATAAACTAATTGAATGAACCCCTAATTTTCATTAACAAATAAAAATATCCCAAGCAGGAAAGTTAAAATCTTTTGCAAAGTTCCCCCCAAATTCAGAATATTCAAGATTAAGCAACTATAGTTTGACCAAGTACTAGAGAATGATCGACATGCAATTCTCTAGATACTTTCCGGGGTTACTCATTAGATCTTATATCAGGCATGCAGGTGAATATACTCTATCTTCAGCTGCAGAGGAATTAGTTTCAGTCTATTCACTGGCTTAGTATTGAGCACATTGAAGAAGAGGTACAAAGCCACCTACCATTGTCACTGTCTCCTTCAGATGGAACACTGTAGCTAGAGCTGTCCCATGTTTGTGCCTGTGTAAGTTTGTTGAAGGAGATAGGAGGAAGAGTGAGGGCTGGGTCTGCAGGAGAGTGAGAGAGCCAGTCCGCGGATAGTTGCACAAGGACCAGGAAAAACCAAAGGGGCAGCAGCATTTCACAAACAGCATAAGGATTGTATGGAAATGAAGCGAATTTAATATTATGGGATTTAATTTCAAATGTACAATATAGGAGAATGAAAGGTGGTGCATGGAATAAAAAGAATGATAAAAACTGAGCATTAGTACTTATCAATCACATCTTTTGCATGCAGTTAATATCATTAATTATAACAGTTTTGAAAGTCCACAGACTTAGAGTACTAATGAATCATGTCTGCAGAAAGAAAGTGTATCCATAGATTAAGCAGATACAAAGCAAAAACCTACCAGAACCCCCTTTCAAAACCCTTGTAAATAACTATCTTAGCAAATGTGACTCACACAAAATTTTGGCTACAATGACAAAGCTTAGTGTGTGTGAATATACATTTCATTTATAAATAGAAAATTAAAAATCATTTTTATTTATGATTTTATCCAAGTAAATATAAAAATTCTCTTTAAAAACATAGCTAAGTCTACAAGCATACTTGACTGATAGCTGAGCCTAGCCAACACTTTGCTCAGCCTTTAACACTCATGCATACCCCTCAATACTGTCCTCAAAAGTGTCAGGGAGAAAGCAACACAGGGCGCTGCAAGCAACCCAACTGACGAGCTGATGTCAAGCAATTTCAAGTGCTTGACACTGAAAGTTATGAGTGATAACATCATCTTCTTCTACTAAATATTCACGATACTTATATGTTTAGGAAGCATCTGTAAATTTCTTATTTAATCATATATCAAGGTCAGTAAAATAAATTGTCATGGTTCTAGGAATAATGGTTCCTAAGGACATAAGTTCCTAGGTGTCTTTCTTTGGGGGGAAAAATCAGAGAAATAAATGTTTCTTATGAAGGAAGCCATCAACCTACTTTCACAATCAAAGTTCTTATTTCAACTTGTTGATTTGAATGGCTTGCTTTGGTATATAAATCCATATAGTTAACTCAGAAATAAAGACAAATTGACTTTTAAAAGTTCTAAAGCTACTAAAAATATTTTTTGTCTTTTTAGTCACCAAATGACCTACAACTAAGATTACTATATATTATTTTTAAATAATTGAAATATATACAGTATAGTATTCAAAGGCTGGAGCCACAGCACAGCAGATAGGGCGTTTGCCTTGCACACAGCTGACCCAGGTTCAATTCCTCCATCCCTCTCGGAAGCCCGGCAAGCTACTGAGAGTATCCTGCCTGCAAGGCAGAGCCTGGCAAGCTCCTCATGGCATATTTGATATGCCAAAAATAGTAACAAGTCTCACAATGGAGACGTTACTGGTGCCCGCTCAAGCAAACCGATGAACAACAGGAGGACAGTGCTACAGTGCTACAAGAGTATTTAAATATCATTGAATATAATAAAACAAAATTTTAAAATGAAATAAAGTAATAAACTCAAAGAGATCTTTACAATATAATGCTAGTTTTATAAAATTCTAACAGTTCACTTGCAGTTCCTGAGGATAAATCAACATTATTTATTATTAATCAAATTCCACAAAGCTTTCAACAACTGGCACAATTTCCACATTGGTTAGTCAGCAGTATAGAAAGGTTGAAAACTTGGAACGAAAATTGGCTTTGTTTTATGCTATTCAAGATAAATATCTCCTTTATTTTTCACCACTACAACGAATTTTAAGTGGTTTAGCAATTCAAGCATCATGTTAACAAGTGGAGCCTGGATTCTATAAAAGAAATTATAAAAAAAGTTCCTGAGATAACTTTAGAATGAAGATTTCAAAGATGCACATTCAAAATAAATATCTTTTGAGTAACTTTAACTTGAGGTTTGTTCAACCATAAAATATTTTTAATTGGGTTTAAACTACCTGTCAAGATTAAGTTAAGGTCTGGTAGACTGATATGATGTTCTCAGTGTACAGACATAAATCTCCTGGTGGACTGGTAATGAGGGATAGAGAGAGAGAGAGAGCTCCAATCCCCCTGCTCATGTCAAGACTACAGAAATGAAAACCCATCCCAGATATGTTTGCAAATGTTCAGTTCTTAAGGAGAGGAGGCTACTTATTTAAGCGTGAGTTCATGTACATTTTGGCTTTCCATTAAATACTGGCTAATAGCCCTTGTCCACCATTGTCTTGAGTGACTTTTTCTTACAGCCCATACAGAATGCCAGGAAACCATTATACTTGGGCATATGTAACTCATCTATCAACTTGTCCCCCTCTCCTCCCCCCCAAAAAACCCTTATTATGTTATTTATTAATTTCCTTAAAAAACATTTCCCTTTTTGCTTGGTACACCTTTTTTCCAAAATATACACTCATATGTTTATTGTTGCCAAAATACTTTAATGAAAAACCCAAGAATATCCTTAATTAACTTTGGCTCAAAAATGTCTGAATCCTTTTTTTTGAATGACTTATAAGCATTAGTAATGCATGTGTACAAAAGATCTAAGTATTGAAAATATTAAAGAAGTATCTAAGGAAGGTGGATTGTGCATACACTTTAAGCACTTGGAAAAATCAGAAGAAAGAAAGACATCACCCTTTTTCTATAATCAACAGTTCCCTTGCACATTGCTGTAATTTACTTTTGTGAAATTATTAACTGTAAACTAAAAGAAATCTGCTAGTAGACATAAAATAGACCTTTAAAAAAAAAGAACTCATTACAGTAATATGAGCCTTGAAAAGTATGAGAAATATGCAAAAAACCTCCCAGACTCAGAAAGGACAGGTGTTAGTCTCAGAGGCTGCTGTATAACTCACACAGTACCAGGAACACTAGCACCTAGAGCGAGTTGCTTTATCTTCCCTTGATTTAGAAGGGCAATTTTCCCCACTACCGGTTCCGCCCCACTTCCCCCCTTTGCTATGATTTGAAGAGGCAAGATATCTATTATTGGTAATATGGACTTTTTAATCAATGATCCCAGAAAACGGGCTTTGAAGTCCGACTTCCCCAATGGTAGTAAGATTCCAGTGCTAGGACTCAACCACAGTTAACCAGAGTGTTCATACTCAACACAAGTATTTAAACAGCTAAAGGGAATCCACTGAGTTGTTACAAGTTTAAGAACAGGCTGAGGTTTGAATTTACCTGACCGAGGCTTCAGACCAAATGGACCGGTGCTGTTTGTGGTAGGAGAGATTGCAGGAGAGTTCTCTCTAATCTGTATTGTTAGAAGAAAAGGGAATTACAAGACAAATAAAACACATATACACATGCTTCTATACACTCAAGGATAATAATAAAAATACTATCTATTTTTTTGCACTTGCTGTTATGTGATGGAAAAAAATACAGAGACATTTTCATACTGCAAATATTTAGTAGGCTTTCTCATACAAATATGTATTACAGGGTCTGAGAGATAGTATAGGGGTTAAGACATTCATCTTGCCTGTGGCTGACCCCAGTTCTATCTCCAGCACACATATGGTCCCCTGAGCTCCTCTATGAGTGATGCCTAAGCACAAAGCCACAAATAAGCTCTGAACCCCACCAGGTGTGGTTCAAAACCAAATAATTTAAAATAATATATTTTATAATCATATGAAACTGATGAGCTCTTTCTGCCCCAGCATTGGTGTGGAGCATGTGCAAAGGCACACACAGACACAGACACACACACACACACACACACACACATACACACACACACACACACAGAGAATCATCCATTCGACAAAAGGCACACACACAATGAAGAATCTCCTAACGCAGTGAGCTAGAAAACAAACAACGGAACAAAAGTCTCACCCACAGGGAAACCACGCGCAGTATATTTATAGATGATGAGATACCATCAATGCTGCTTATTTGAACTGTTTTCACTCTTATTTGTGAACGAGTGAACTTTACAACAGTTTGCTGCAAAGATGTTCTGTATTTGTTTTTCAAAACGCATCTTATAAAATTAAGAATTTATTATGAGCAGGGTGAGATGACTAGGAGAACTAATGGGTGAGACTCCTCCAGAAAGTCTGCAATACAATGAACTCATTAATCACTGACAGTCTTACATTATATACTTTTAAAAAGGCTATTCACAGAATACCTCAGCTCCCATTAATCTTCAGGAAACCTACCTCATTTGGAGAATACTGGCTTCCATTACTCTGTAATGTTAGATCATTTTGCACCTTAAAAAAAGAAAAAGAAAGCAGGCCATGTCCTTTTAAACTATAAAACTCTTTAGATTGAAGAATGCAGCTTTTTAAAGTTCCATCCTACCTTTTGCACAAAGGCACATACTAATATACACTGATTAATATTTTAGGTGACTAAGTTATACTTCTATTTTCTAAAGGCACAGAGTTAATTTTATAGCAAAATATATCTAAAGTATCACACAACCTAAAAAGGGTCTCCCAGAAAGGTAGTTTAAGAGATAATCAGGAGGTTAAGGCATTGTCTTTCGTGTGACCAACCCTCGTTTAATCCTTTTCATCTTACATGGTCACCCAAGCACCTCCAGGAATGACCAATGAGCACAAACCAAAGAGTAAACGTAATCTGGATGGGAGATGTGTGCTGAAAACTGGTCAAGGACCAAACATGGTGGCCTCTCAGTACCTGTAATGCAAACCATAATGCCCCAAAGTAGAGAGATATTAAGAAGAAAAGTGCTTGCCACAGAGACAGGTAGGGGTGGGGTGGGGTAGTGGGTGGGAGCAGCAGGAGGAAAACTGGGGACACTGGTGATGGGAAATGTACACTGGTGGAGGGATGGGTGTTGGAACACTGTACAAATGAAATCTGATCATGAAAGTTTTGTAACTGTGTAGCTCATGGCGATTCAATAAAAAAAAAATTTAATTACATGAAAATAAAAATATAAAGAACAGATTCTCCTCCCCACAAAAAAGAGTAAACCCTGGGCACTTTAGGTCCCCAAGACCAAACCCCACCAAAAAAAAAAAACAAATTACAAAAACATGAAAATTAAATAACACTATAACACTTAGAGAAAGCTTCTAAAATAAAGGAAACTTAGATATCTCCCAGCTATAGTGTATGCACTGGAAGAAAAAAATTCTCTGAAGGACATCATGTTATTAACCTGAATATTTGAAACATGAATGACAGATTAAATGAAAAGGTTTACCAATACAAATCTATTAAGTTGATATATGAAATGCAGTCATATAAGATCTAATTCTTATTGCTAAAAGAACATACTATAGCCTTAAGTGACAAAGGATTAAAAGGCTAAAGCGTGACCTCAATCTTCTGAAAATGAAATATCTACGTGAAGAAAAGAAAACAAATAATGCTATAAACATGGCAAGATACTGGTAAATCTAGGTAAAAGCCATATTTTTTGTACCGTTTGTTTTCAACCTTTTATAAACTTAAAATTATTTCTAAACAAGAAGCTTCAAAAGATATATGTCTACAGAGAACTAAAAGTGATGTATTTCAAACAGAAATTGATGAGCTGAGCTGAGGGCAGCCTTCAATAAAAAGTTTCCTGCTGCTCTACTGCTGGGTGATTCAGTGACACCTCTGTCCAGGGTAGAGGGGAGAGTGACACAGTGATGTCCTGAGGCAGTGAAAGTGCAGTAGAGGAACAGCAGACGTTTCGGTGTCCTGGGTCATGGAATGACTCTAATTCACAGAAAATGAAGGTCAAGTTCAGAGTGGTTGACTATATTCGCCCAAAGTTATCAAATCTTTGAGAAGGGACTAGAGGGTAACAGAATTCTAAGTCACTGAGCTTAACAAAGAAATGATTCTCTCTGGGAACAAGTTTTTTCAGTAACAGTTCTTTTCCTCATTATTTCAAAGAAGTTTAAGCTAGTTAGGAATGTGAAAAGGTTTTGCTCTAATACAGATATTCCTGGGGACATAAAATAATTCCTGATGAAATGAACCTTCATAACTCCATTCACGGGTATGCAATGATAAATCAGTGGGCAGGGCACTTGCCTTGCATGTGGACAACACAGGTTCAATCCCTGGCATCACATTATGGTCCCTTGAGCCACTACCAGAGGCAGGAGTAAGCCTGAGCACAACTGGATGTGTGAACGAAAAGAAAAGAAAAGAAAAGAAAAGAAAAGAAAAGAAAAGAAAAGAAAAGGAAAAAAGAAAAAAGAAGGGTCAGATAGATAGGAAGGAAAGGAGGGAGGGGGAGGAGAGGGAGAAGGAAGGAGGGAAGAAGGGAGGGAGAGGGATGGCAGGCAGGCAGGCAGGCAGGCAGGCAGGCAGGAAGGAAGGAAGGAAGGAAGGAAGGAAGGAAGGAAGGAAGGAAGGAAGGAAAGAAGGAAGGAAGGAAGGAAGGATAGAAAAAAAAGTAGGTTGCAACCTGTGTTTCACTGAGTCACCAGCTCAACCCCCCACTTCCCCCTCTTGAGGACAGTTTCTCCAGAACCTTCCAGGCTCACCTCTATTCTTACGTGATCTCTCTATAGTCACTCAATTTCACCTCATTTAATTCTACCTAACCACCTTCTTGTGACCTCAAGCATTCCCATCAGTTTTCTTTGTTAAGGTTCTCTGACTCCTTGAAGGCCATTTCACTGATCCTCTGTCCTTGACTTTCAAGACTTTACTGAATATGAAATGTCCCTACATTTCTTTCTTGGTTCTAAAATCTGTGCTGAGCAGTCTTACCTCTAGTTTCTGTCACAGCTAGATCCGTATGGATCTTTGTTGACAATACTTAATTCAGCAAGATGAGCTGACTTTGATAATTTAAAAAAAATTGGGGTTTATGGGGAGCTCATAAGTGATGCTCTGAAGGTCTAATCAGCAATTCTGAGTCAACTGGGCCATAATTGGCCAAATGGACTGGCAGTTCAAGGCAAGATCCCAAGAATATGGTATTGCTCAGGTCCTGAAGTGCCCAGACAAACCCTGACATGGTTGAAGGGACCATGTGTTGCTATAAATCAAACCCGAGTTGGGTGCATGCTAGGCATGTGTCCAAATCACTAGTCCCAAAACCAAGATAAATAATAAAAATTATTTATTTTGGTTTTGGGGCCACACCCAGCTGTACCCAGGGTTTACTCCTGGCTCTGTACACAAAAGATCACTACCGGCAGTGTTTGGGGGACAACGTGCAGTGATGGGATTGAATTGGAATTGGCCATGTGCAAGTTGAGCACCTTAAGCCCTGTGCTATCTCACCAGCCATAGAAAACTTAATCAAGGCAGCTAACTCTCCTCTTTAAACAGTATTAAGTGGGAAAATTCAACAGGAAAAGAGGAAAATACATTTGAAAACCATCTTGAAGAGCTTGAATATAGTCCTCAGTATTGAATCTTCTTCCCTAGGACAAATCTTTACAGACCATAGTAGCAACTTTTCTATGGTGGAATACTGCATGGAAATTGGATTAATCCAAGATCTGCCTTACCTCACTCACCTCACTCACTGGAGAGCCGTCCAGCTGTATTTGACCACTATAGGAATGAAGGAAAAAAAGATGCAAAGTGGAATTTAAATCATAATAACTTTGAAGTCCAGAAATAAAACATGAATATATTCAATTATCGAAAGGTCAACATACTTTAATACAGAATCTTGTAATTCTAAGGCTTCTGCTGATTCCATAGGATAAAAATTTATAACACTTCTCTCTGAAACATCTGTGCTCAATCTAAAAAGGAGATAGAAAGATATTAAAAAATTTATTAAGTCTTTAATAAATTTAATGTGTGGCATATTTAAAAGCTGTATTTATTGTTAAAATAGAGTAATGAAAGGTTTATGGTAGAGATTTCAAACCACATTCTATTTTCCCAGCATGTTGCCAAATTTAATATAGTCTCAATAAGATTTTCCATCTGCTATCAGTATTGAAACCCAGCTTATTTGCAATGTAAAGATTTCCAATAAAATCTAACATTAAAACATTTCTAACAAAGTCATAATAATCATAAGTAGATGCAAAATTTTATTCTAATATTAAAAATATTTCTAATAAAATCTAACAAAATATTTCTAAGAAAATCATAATAACTGGTGGTATGGTGCCACCAGCAGGTCAATCTGTACCTGTGAGGCGAGTGCATCAGCAGCCTGATGGTGCCCTCAGACTTCCAGATACCCCAAAATTGCTGCTGTGCCTTTGGCCAGACCCCAAAAACTTGGGGCAAAGTTTACCAAGAAAGTTAACGGCCAAAAGTTAGGTGTGTGGGAAACACACCCACAAACCACCTCTGGCTCAGCTATATAATCGGAGGCATGGCCTCTCTGGTTCCAGATCAAACTGCTTAATGGCCATGATCCCAGAGACTCAGAAACAAATCTTGAAACCCAGCGGCTTTTGGCAGAAATGCGTCCAGACTCCGCAGTAGGTTACTGTCACCAGGCCACTCCAGGGGGGGAAAGGGTGCTGTCCCTCCGCCTGCTCCCCCCTGCTGGCCCGGAGGCCGCCATTCTCCAGAAGCCACTGGACAATCAGGTTTGGGCCTGCAGTGATGAGACATGCGGGGGCCTCACTGGATGGGGGTGGAGCTGGCCCCTTTATCCCCGTCCCAACGAGACCCCAAGTCATTGCCCACAAATGGCCTCTCTGGCTCCTGATCAAGCTGCTTAATGGCCATGATTCCAGAGACTCAGAAACAAATCTCAAAACCCAGCAGCTTTTGGCAGAAATGTGTCCAGATCCTGCAGTAGGTTACTGTCGCTGGGCTACCCCAAGGGGTAAAGGGTGCTGTCCCTCCGCATGCTCCCCTTTGGCGGCTCGGTGGCTGCCATGCTCCAGTCAGATTTGGGCCCACGAGACAGGGGGGGCCTCATGGGATGGGGGTGGAGCCAGACCTTTCCTCCCCATTCCAAAGAGACCCCGAGTCACCGCCCACAAACCGCCTCTGTGGCTCCTGATCAAGCTGATAAATGGCCATGATCCCAGAGACTCAGGAACAAATCTTGGAACCCAGCAGGTTTTGGCAGAAATCCCTCCAGATTTAATTGTTAAAATTTCAGAATTTCAAAATCGACATCATATGTTATCCATAACAAGCAATAGAAAACAAATTGTCTACTGTTGCCTTTTTGGCAGATCTGATTGTTGGGGTAAAATGCCAAATGATAATGCTGGGTCAGGTGTCAAAATATTGAATATGATCAAAGTAGAGAGAGAGTAATGTTGAGGTCATCTGCCCCACAGGTAGGGGGAGGGTGTGGGATTGGGGAAACTGGGGCTTTTGGTGGTGGAGAATGGGCACTGGTGAAGGTGTGGGTGTTTCAGTGTATGACCAGGACTTAAACCTGAAAGCTTTGTAACTGCTCTCACAGTGATTCAATAAATAAAATTATAAAAAATGAAAAAAAAAGTAAGGTGGAGTTCATGCCCAATTCAATCAGTCTAATCAGTGGCTGAATAAATAGCAGTACTCCTACATTAAAAAAAATCATAATAACTATAAGTATCACACATTGCTTTATTCTAAAAACCTCAATTTGTAGAAAGTTATTGACAGAACTATAATGTGATATATGAAATAAAAATATTTTGTTTTAATATGAATACCTTTAGTATACTCTAGTACTTTCACTTAAAAGTAATTGGGGGGGCTGGAGAGATAGCACAGCGGGTAGGGCATTTGCCTTGCACACAGCCAACCCGGGTTCGATTCCCAGCATCTCATATGGTCCCCTGAGCACTGTCAGGAGTAACTCCTGAGTGAAGAGCCAGGAGTAACCCCTGCGCATCACCAGGTGTGACCCAAAAAGCAAAAAAAAAAAATGTTATTGGGTATGCTTTTATTACCTTTTGAAATTCTCTTACAGAGTTTCTATATTAATGCAATTTTAAGTTAATTAAATATATATATATATCAGAAACACCTGTAAGTTATATTAAAGTTACAAAGGTATCTTTAAAAAAGTGTGATGAGGGCTGGAGCGATAGCATAGTGGGAAGGGCGTTCGCCTTGCACGCTGTAGACCCAGGTTCGATTCCCAGCATCCCATATGGTCTTCTGAGCACTGCCAGGAGTAATTCCTGAGTGCATGAACCAGGTCTGACCACTGTGCATCGCCAGGTGTGACCCAAAAAGAAAAAAAAAGGTGAGATGAATTCACGTAGGAGAGGAAGGGGGTGCACTGGTGATGGGCATAGTATTAGAATTTTGTGCATGAGAAACCATTATTAACAGCATTGTAAACTACAGAATCTCAATAAAAAAATTTAAAAGAGTAGGAGTGCATATTATATATGCCTACTAATAATATTAAATATACTATTAAACCAAAAATCTGAAGAGAAGAAACCAAGATAAAGACCATGAGAAAGCAATATCCACTAGATACTCTGATGTTAAGATTGTATGAAAAGTCAACTGCTAAAATTTTATTCCTATAATAACTAACATGTCTAAAACAACTAAAAAAACTTCTAAGGCTATGAAATATGAGAGAAAAATAAAAATCAAGGTATATATAAATTTGCAATTACTGATAGTTAATCCTAAAAAGAAATGACCTCTTCAACTGCAACAATATGACCCCTTATTTATTATATTTCCCCAGCTCACAGAAACATTATTACAGTAAAAATAGTTACTATAACAGAATGGATAGCAAAGATTTAAAGCAGCTAGCAGAAAGAATTATTTTAGGGAGAGAGTAAATCCATACAAAATTTTACAACATAACGCCCTCAAAAGATGCAAACCAACCACCAACTGGATGGTTATACTGGGCCTTCTTTCTTCTATAAGTCAGTATACATCCCATTCTGAATCCCTGTTCTTGGTAACTTAAAGTCTCAGACATTTCCAAACTGGAAACGAATCTCAAAATCCTTAGCTGATCCTATGTTTCATGAAGGATGATTCAAGTGAGACCCTGAGCTAGAGCCGCACCCTCCAGGTCACTGAGGTCTCCCTTGTAGTCTGTACTCCCACCATTGTTAATGACAACACACCACGGTGTTCTCTTTAGCTTTTTGGTTCATCTATGCTACTTCCCCATTTGTTATAATTGTGCGCGTGTGCGCGTGTGTGTGTGCGCACACACGCACGCGTGCACGCGCGCACACACACATTTATACTGACTTAGGCATACATCAGCATCACGTACACACACAGGCTCTCTTGTTTCTGATTTCCATTCCATCATTAACTCTACTGCTTTAAAAAGATGAAGCTCATATCTTCAAAAAACATACCTGGACCATATTACAAATTTCTGTATGAATTTCATGGAGGGTGAACATTATGAATAGAGAAAGGAGAAAACCAATCTCAGTAATTCTAGAAGTTTTGCTAAAATTGTCTTTGTGAGTGGTTAGACTGCACCTATTGTATGTATAATGTTTTTAAAAGTGAAATAATGTACTCATAAATTAGCACGCAACATTTGCACATGAAACCCGGGAAAGACTCAGATACCTGCTGGGATCTTGTAACAGATCTACTGCTTCTCTCAGCTGTTCAATCATCGTTATATCCATGTCCTGGTCTTTGGATGAATTTATCCTGTAGCATGAAACCAAGTAGGGAAAAGAAATGAGGAACTATCTCCAAGGTTTCCAAGAGTAAACTTAACAAAAATCCATTTGCAATAAATGTGGTTTTGGAAAATTCAACAAAATGAGAAGGAGTCAGTATCTGACAAGGGGAAGTGCCCATTCTATAGCAGAATAATAGGATTGTAAATCACAGAACCTCAAACAGCAAGGGAAGAAAAAGCAAAAAGTAAGAGAAAGAGTTCCTGAGTGGGAAGCTCAGCTGGGTTGTAAGACACTCACACAGGCTAATGGCTGGTAGATCTGCATCTGATCATCTGCTTAGACAGGAGGTTCCATACCACACTTTTCTAAAGCCAAGTGAGTCCCCCAGGGTGCTGAGGTGGGGGGAGGGGAGGCAGGTCAAATAGCCATCAGACCTGGTCACCCCAAGTAGGTCTTACTGGGGCTTGAACATTTTAGGTCACTCTCCAGTTGATCCTGACTTACAGGCAAGGTACTTGAGAACAATATACTTAAAATTTGAATATGAGGTTTATGAATTTGAAAACATGAGGCTTCAATGGTGTCATATAGTTTAATTTTATCTTTTATGTAGTTTATATAGTTTAAAATATCCTTCCCTATAAAACACATCTCCCTAGAACTATATGATTCTAAAAATCAAGCTAAGTCTCCTTGGATGCACAGAAACAAATGTAATGAATATTAGAAATGAATTGAAAGCCTGGACAGTGATTTCAAAGAAACCTTGCATGTTTTTAAAGGACACTAGAGGTTACTCCGTTCTCTTGAGAACAAAGGTTAATGTCTTTCTGTAAGTGGAGGAATTTCTTAACAATGTGGTAAATGCTCCTCAAGGAGGAAACCTCCTATAAGGTATGAGAAAAAAAAAAAAGATTAAGGCCTATAAACCAGATGCTGTTAAACAAAAGTACTAAAAATTCTATTCCATACTACATGGTCCAAACTCAATTCTCTTCCAAGTGGTTTAACATTTGATAACAGCACTCATGCCCCCCCCCAAAGCCTGCCTCATGCATCTCTATAAGTAAGAGTACAAGGGACACCCAGGCCGGGCAACTCTCCTTGGGTTCAGTCCTGGCCTCTCTGTACCCCTCATGTTTTAACCTGTGAATGTGAATAACAATGGAACTTGTAGGACTGAAGAAAAGACAAAATAAGTTACTACTGGTAAAGTATTTAGGATAGTACCAGGACATGTTGTTTATTTTATTTGGGGGGCCATACTGGGCAGTGGTCAGAACTTATTCCTGGCTCTGTGCTTGGGAATCACTCTTGGCAGGGCCGAGGGAGACATAGGTGGTGTCAGGGATCAAACCCTGGACAGCTGCATGCAGCCCCTCCAAGCAGTGCTACATACATTAGAACTGGAACCAGAGGTACAGTGAATTTTTTGAGATCTGAACTTGGTTATTCTTGGTAAAGAATCTAGGTACTGCAGAGGTACTCCACGTCTGGGAAAACAGGCTACATATGGCTTTCGAGCCATTTGTGGGTTCTTCCAGCAAATGGAAGGAAGTCAATAATTGCAGTCTAGCAATTTGAATCCCCCCAATCACATCTCTCCCCATTGGCTCAAGTCAGATAAACCCGAAGGTCAATGAGGAAATGCAATCTTGCATGTGTGGTTCCTGACAACAGAACCCAGAGTACAATAAGTACTCAAGTCTTCAGACAGAGAGCAACTTGTAACTTCTTCTTTTCACATCTTTTTACATGGCCTCAGCCAGTAAAGCTCAGGCCCCTGAGGTAACTCCCTGTGATGGCCCATGTGGAGATTTAGAGCTTCTCCGGGCCAGTGGTTCTTGGGTAGGGGGATGCTTGGGGGAATGAAGGGACACAAGTAAAACTGGGAATCGAACTCAGAGCCTTGCAATTTTTTACCACATGTTTTGCCTGGCCCATAAACTTGGACCTTCTTATCAATATCATTAGGTAAGAATTTGAGCTTGCCCGTCCCCAAAGACCAAAGTTCTATCAGCAGCAGGCAACATTCTGCTTGAAACATGCACTGTGCAGGGGATAGTGGCTCACGGCAAGGTGCCTGGTACTCACATTCCCTCTGTTTGCCAATGGGTGTCCTCTTCTATCCGTAGCAATTCTTCACAGTCCTCCTTCCTGGCCTGTGTACAGAACACATGGGTCTTCTGAGAGCCACTGGCTATCAGCAGTAACAACAAATCTGCCCTGGCCCATAATCAAAGAAAATAAATAAAATGGAAATAAACCAATAAACTCAAGTGTCTATTTACTGATTGGGAAGTGGAGAAACAAAATGTGTTCTATATGGACAATGGAATGTCAATAAGCCTTAAGTAGGAAATTCAGACACATTCCACTACATGGAGGGATTGCAAAGACATAGACAAACAAGCCAGTCACAAAAAGGCATTTATATAACTGCACTGATATGAAGTACCGAGAGCAGTCAGATTCATGTACCAGAGAAAGAGCAGTCTTTGCCAGAGACACAGGGAGACGGGCACAGGAAATGCCCTGTTTCAGTTTCATAATAGGAAAAAAGGACTGGAGTTGGCTTGTTGGGACAGTCACCCAGCCAAGGGAATGGGTACAGCATCTTGAATTGTACTTAGAGAACTATATGATTATAATCTATGTCACTGTACACTTAAAAATGGCTGAAATGGTAAGTTTCATGCTATCTGCAATTTACCATAATTAAAATACCCTTCCCCCAACACACACACCAGAAAAGAAAAAGAAAATGAAAGGAAAGAAAAAGAAGGTAGGGCAGAGAGGCATCCCAAGGGTAAGGAGCTTGCTTTGCATGTGGATGATCTGGGTCTTATCCCGGGTACCATATATGATGGACCTCTGAGCCCCTCCAGAAGTGATCTCTGAGCACAGAAACAAAAATAAGCCCTGAGCATTTCTGAGTATGGCAAAACAACAAAGGAAGACAGAAGAAAAGGAAGGGAAGTAGGGAAAAAAGGAAGAAGAAAGAAAGGGAGGGAGGGAAGGAAGGAAGGTGAAAGAAAAGAAATGGTTAGAGGCAATTTGGGAAGGAAGGAAGGAAGGAAGGAAGGAAGGAAGGAAGGAAGGAAGGAAGGAAGGAAGGTTGGTTAAAGAAATAAAACAGGGTAAAGAAAATAAAAGAAAGAAAAGAAAGCCTGGCCTATCACAGTATGTTATATCAGAGTCAGAAATGTCAACTAAATCTAATTCTTCTTGCTCGCTTCAAATCTCCTGGTGGTGACAGATTTCTCCCCTGGGCCACTAAGTCACATGAGAGGATGCAGTGTTGTGTCTGCAAGTGTGTGTGCATGTGCACGTGTGCTGCTGGGGAAAAGGAGAGTCTGAATACTTCCCCCAAATGCCTCAAATTGCCTCTAACCATTTTCACATGTTCAGTACCCAGGTTTCACAGAAATTCCCATCATTTTCTATTATTTTCCTGGAGAACCATTTAGATGGGAAGAAATACTAAGAAAGGTGTGTCCCACCGTAGGAATGTTTACAGGTTTCTTCCACTTTGATCTCTGACACAGAGAAACACAGCTTTAACTCAGCTCGCAGCCAGAAAGGAAGCCACACCTGATGGGGGTACACTTCCCTGGCACGGAAGGAACTGAAGACAAAAGGCCTGTGTTCTGTGTCAAGGTTTCTATGCAGCTTTGACCAACTCGGGTCCAGTCACACCCGCAGGTGTGTTGCTGAGAAAAAAAGACTTCTGAGGAAGAGGAGTGAGGAAGGTTGGAAAAACTCAGGCACTTCCTCTGCTGATCATGTTTTAAAGCCCATGGAAATAACTAAACCACTGTCCAAGTGAGAGTGGGATGCATGGGCGACATCTGCCACTAGTGCCATGGTGCTCTCTTCTTGTTGGGTTTTAACTACAAGAGCCACGGGTATTTCCTTCTCACTTCCAGTTTCATAATAAAAAACACCCAAAAGCTCAAAACATCTATTTTTTTAAGTAGGATGCAAAGTTTGCATTATTATTCCAGGATTCCATTTTCATACAATTGCCTACTCGGCTTGCCTACTACTAAAATGTCTTTAAAACCCTCAAACCATAGCCAAGGTGCTTTTGAGGGCACCAGCACTGCCCTGAGGCACCTGGCAGGCATGTGGGGAGAGGTGTGGTACATTTGTGTTTCCCAGCCATGTACTTTCTCAGCAGAGATGGAATAAGATGAGATGTCTTCTTGTTGCAGCTCTTACAACTGTCCATGCCAGACAGTGTTTTGTGCCATTTGGTGCTTTTGAGGGGGATATGGCACTTCAAGTGGCCCTGAGCATGGTGCTAAAGGATTTTCTTGTGTTCCTAGGCACTAGAGTGTTAAGCGCCTTAGAGAGAAAACACATGTTAGATAAGCTTCCTCCTGGCTACTGGCTGAGTTCAAAGTTGAATCAACAATACTTATTAAATAGGGTGTTTTAAAACCTCAGAACACACAAAGCAAGGTTACAGGTTGACCAGTTGACAAAAATGTGTGATCAGAAGCTCATAAGAACTTTCTGTGTTGCTCTGAAAGCACGGGCTCAGTACTGGAGAGTTGAGTGGAAGCACGGGCTCAGTACTGGAGAGTTGAGCATTCGAGGTGACTTGCTAAGACAAAAATTTTCATGAATCATGAAAATCAACAGTGGTTACAAAAGCACAGGATTCCAATTCAGTTACAGGGATGTAAGAGAATTCTGTAAAATGCAAAACTCTTGGATACAGCAGGAATGAGTGACACAGTGCCCTGGCTGGCCGTCAAGCATATTCTCCGAGGGGTTTCTGTGGGGAGGCAGGTGGGTGGTGCAATATATCCCGGGTGGTGCTCAGCAGATCCAAGGGCCTCTCCTGATCATTCTCTTCCACTAGGGCTGTCTGTTCAGTGCACGGGTGAGTATGTGGTGCTTCCTGGGATGCTATAGTGCTGGGGATTCTTGGGGCCACCCTGGCAATGCTCCCGGATCACCCTCAGCCATACTCAGGGGAACATGTGGATCCAGAGATTGCACCAAGGTCATCTACATACGTCTACGTACATCTACCCCTGTACTATATTTGTGATCCTTTTTTTAAAGTGACAGAGCTGTGGGGTTGGAGTGACAGCACAGTGGGTAGGGCATTTGCCTTGCACCTGGCCGACCTGGGTTCAATACCCAGCATCCCATATGGTTCCCTGAGCACTGCCAGGAGTAATTTCTGAGTGCAGAGCCAGGTATGACCCAAAAAGAAAAAAAAGTGACAGAGCTGAAGCTAAAGTGGGCCCGATTTTCATTGTAGGAATTTTTAAAACTTCACTATTGGTATTATTACCATTCTTCTCTTGACTTTCCAAAAGAAGTTGCTTGCAGGAATAAGAGACCATTCTGGAGGTTTCTATGACTCTAATACTACTCCAAACCCTGCCATATCTACAAAGCACTTGGATTCCTGAAATCTCTATCTTGAGACATTGCTTTTTTGAAGCAATATGCTTTATTTCACTCATCTCTGTATAGTTTTTCCTTCAGCATTTGCATCGTTTTAACTCTTAAGATAAATTCTACATGAAAAAAAGACCAAAGGCTAATTTTCCACATTTTTGTGACAGTCTTATCCCAGAAATTATCGACAGGGGTCAAATCTGGGAAAGCCTCATGGGAAAGCTGAGAGTCATGTCCTTAGACTCATACTTTAAGGAACTGTTTGGTGGCAAAATATAAAGGGTACATACATGTAGGTGTACGTATGTGTGAGTGTGTGTTGCACTTGTGTGTGCATGAGTACGTACATGTGCATGTGAATTATCTTGGCATATATGTATGAACATGTGTGTATGCAAATATGTGTGAGTATGAACGTGTATGTGCATTTGTATGTAGCACACATGGGATCATACACAGAAAGGGTCACTAGGCCATTGGGATGGCAGGTGACTTTCAGTCATCAAAATTAAAATAATAAGACTCAAGTGATGTTATATAATGGAGATATAAATGAGGCAATTGTGTAAAATATTTAGAAATAAGAACTTAAAAAATAATCAATAATGTTTGTAATAATTTTAGTTGGTTTTCTACAAATGTACATTATATGTCAGGTGTAGCCTTAAGGGCATAAAGACCTCTTGAGTGTATCATGGATTTGTGTGGCATAAAATCCAGATTCCTGGTTTCTTAGAAGGTGATGCCCAGAGATGCCCATATAGAAGTCTGCTGTCACTGTCACTGTCCTCCCATTGTTCATCGATTTGCTCGAGCAGCTCCAATAACATTGTGAGACATGTTACTGTGTTTGGCATATCGAATATGTCACGGGGAGCTTGCCAGGTTTGCTGTGAGGGCGAGATACTCTCGGTACCTTGCCGGGCTCTCCAAGAGGGCCGGAGGAATCGAACTCGGGTCAGCCATGTTGGCTGAGTGCAAGGTAAACAGCTTACCCGCTGTGCTATCGCTCCAGCTCTCCAAATAAACAAATACATCACTTGATCACTTGGAGTCCTCTATAATAGTAAAATCTTCAGACAAGATGCATTAACAATTATGAGAGGCACATGCTTGATTTAACAGCGAATCCTGGAGCCTACCATCTCTCAAACCACAGCAAATCTGAATTTTAGCAAAAGAAGCACCCTTGTGAATCTTGGGTGCCATAACCTGAACAGAAACAACAGGGAGAAATATACCAGGCACCCCATCATGTCTCAAATGAAACCTCAAATTATCAGCTACAGAAAAGACCTGCTTTTTCTTTCTCCCTTTTGCTGCCACTGTGATAAAGGTTCACTTGAAAACTTAATGACTACAACCAACCTTTCAGCCTCTCAGTGCAACTGCAACACTTCAGAATAAAGGTGTTCTCAAAATGACCTTTCCAGAAAAGTAATTCGCTGTCAGACTTTACAGATATCCACAAAGGTGCCAGTGGAACCCAGTCCCTCACACATCTGACATGCCCTATGCTTGAGCCACATCCCTGGCCCCACTGCCCAACTTTAAAAGTAACCATTTTTCTCTTTAATCATGGCTATTCTTCCAATTAAAGCATTCGCCTGGGACACATGAAAAAATGTGAAATGCCATTTTGGCTTTTGCTCAATAGCAATGGTCACCCCGACACATATGTTAACATGCGGAATATACTGGGTAATGGGAAGGTTTTCTAAATTCAGAAGAAAATCACAGACTCCTGCAAAAAAAAAAAAGACAGGCATGCAAGGAAGGGACTGTTTCCACTGTTTCCAGCTATTAAAGAACTGATGTGCCAAACTTTGCAAGATGTTAGAAAGCTCTAAATGCAGATGTCAGTGTAAACACTTAATGTGATGGATTCATCACCTCGAACTCAAGTTCTAAGGCATCAAACAAACGAAAATGAATTTGAAAATCAGTTGATTTTCAACTTGCCTTTGTGTAGTTTATAAATTCTGAATGTAGAACATCTGCTCCGTGCACAAACTGGTTTCTTGCTTCTCCTGAGCTGTCACTGTTGCCCACAAGAGAAGGGTCTGGTTGAAATTCCTGATGAAATTCCCCTAATACAAAAATAACAGAGAAAGGCAGAAAGCATGATTTTATGAACAGATGAGCTAAGCACAGAGAGTATGTATTTCAGTAGCCTTTTTTACCATGCTAGGTGTATGAAAATACAAATTCTCTTTGTCTTAAACTGTGTGAAGGAAAGATGAAAAATCAAGGAGCAAAGAGCTAAAAAGTAAAAAAAAAAAAAGGAACCTCAGCTGAGTTTAAAAGTCAGAGTCTTTTGATCATTTAGTTCATTATAAAAAAAGAAATTAAAAAATTCCTTTTGTTTTTTTTTGGCGGGGGGCATCATCATCAGTGCCCAGGGGTTACTCCTGGCTCTGTGCTCAGGGATCACTCCTGGCAGGACTCAGGGGAGCAAGTGGGGTACTGGGGATTGAACTTGGTTCAGTCACATGCAAGTAAAACATCCTACCCGATGTACTATATCTCCAGTCCCCCTTTGTTATTTTTTAAGGAACAAAGAAACAAGTATAAAGAGGGCTTTTGTGCTCAGTGATGTGTAATAAGTAATCTTCAAACTCAAAATATAACAAATATCTACTGAGAAACTTCTAAATGGCAGGTAGTAACAATAATTTAAAAAAGTCTAACCTGGCTCTGGTAACTTATGTGAGGAAACAGCTCTGGTACTTATGTGAGGAAACAGGTTTTTTTTTGGGGGGGGGAGGTGGTCACATCCAGTGATGCTCAGGGTTCCTACTGGCTTTGCATTCAGGAATTAGTCCTGGCAATGTTCAGAGGACCATATGGGATGCTGGAGATCAAACCTGGGTTGGCTACATGTAAAGCAAATGCCTTACTCACTGTACTATCACTCTCTCCCCGAAAGAGTTTCAAGGAAGCATGTGAGAAGGAATTAGGACAAGAAGCTCAAATCATAACAACACAAGACATAACTATAATAACGTCCACCGTGAGGGAAATACATTCTCAGAATATATCCAACAAGAGATCATTCTGGAGTTAAGTGTGAGAGATATACTGCACAGATAGAAAGCAATACTGCACAGATTTCTCCTCGCAATAGCAACAGATCACTAGACAGAAAAGGAGCAACAGAGTCACTTTAAGAACTCTAGTCAGCAAAATATTCACTTCTAAGACAGGCAGATAGGAAGTGGGTGGAACTTACTGGCAATGAGTCAAGCAATTCTTTTGAAAGAACATGCCTAAACATTACATTCTATTTTACATAATTTACAAATCTTATGTCAAGAACCTGGAAGTCATGTTTTTGCAGAGTCTCCTATTTAATTTTTTTCTTTTAAAAAATTTATTATAATGTAGAAAAAAAGGCAAAATTGTTGATACAATATTAGAACTAAAATAATTACATAACAAAGCTGCAATATTAAAATAGATACAAATCAATATATGTAAAAATTATTATATCTCATTGTCGAGTTAAGTGCTTGTCTAAGAATTTATTAAGGTCTTTGTTGCTTTAAGAGGTGTTACATAGCCATGTATGCGGCTGCGTGGTACAGTTGAATTTTTTTTACAAAGTAAAGCTGTAATTATAATCTGATAAAACATGAATGCTACGCTTATATGCTAAGCTTCAAAACCTAAACAAAAAGAAGTGAGAAATATTTGCATTGGTTTAAATGGCTCAACCATCACTAACAAGAATTAAAAAAATTATTAGCTATTCTTTCATCTGAATCTAGTTCTACACTATTTGTATAACATGAAACAACAATCCATAAATCATCAAACATTAAATTTTACTATTTTCTTTAAAGTTATAGAAAAAAAAACAGAAAGCCAAAAGTGCTATCAAAATGCAAATAAAACCTTTTAATCAAAACATGAAATGTTTTACATGAATTTCCAACATATTCAAGACAGGATGCACTTAGTGATCGTTTGGTGGTTATTAAAGAACCAGAAAGTTAATTTTACAGTGGCAGAAAATCCTTAAATTTACTTAATCATTTTATATATAGATAAGGAAATTCACTCGTCCTTATTCAACTGACTTGCCAACTGGCTTGTCCAACATCAACTAGGTCTCTGGACAAACATTTCCACTACAGCCCCTGTCCTGGCCATGGAACCAAGTCTAGCTTATGTGTGAAGAGTCAGAGAACCAGATCATGTGCAACCTCATGCTCTTCCTCTTTGGGCTTAAGACAGATAGACTTGGGAGCCTTGAAAGTCTTGTGTTTAAAATGGAGGCACTTGGGGCCAGAGAGATAGTACAGAGGTTAAGGTGCTTACCATGCATGTTCAACTCCAGGTTCAATTCCTGACACTCCATACGATTCCTGGAGCCCCACCAGGAATAATCCCTGAGCACAGAACCAGGAATAAGCCCTATGAACAGCTGGTGTGGCTCACCCCACTCCCAGAAATACAATAATTGCATAAAAAAATTAAACTGTCTTGGGACCTTGAATCAATGCTTCAAGGTGAATGACGAGTCAATAACTCTGGGAATTTTATGTATTATTTTCACCCAGAGTTTTCCTTATCAGTATTTTCTGTCCAAGAATACATTTGCACAATCTTGGATAAATCCTGAAAATTAGATCAGCTCTACTACTTCCTAGCAGTGTGAACCATAGGCAAATTCTCTAAGCCTTGGTTCCCTCAAGTATAAAATGACAATGATTGGACTACCTTTCTCAGAGCTTTGGACTTCAAATGAGATTGCCTTCCCATAGTAGCATAGTGTCTGATGTGTGAGGAATGCTGCATTAAGTATGAAGCACTATCATTCTATATCTGTGTTTATATCCAACACAGCCTTGGGAACAAGCCCTTTCTCCCCATCTTCACTGACTGACCTTTAGGTGGGCTGAGAAGATGGCATGAGTCCTCTTTGACGCTCTGCTCTTCTTCCATGATATTGGACATTGGCACATTCAGGCTGACAGTGTCTTCATCAGAAGGCTGAAAAGAAACAGGCCGTCAATTTATTCAAAAGAGAAATGTAATCAGTGAAGATAAAGAGATGCTACGTGATTTAAAACAAAAGAAAAAACAACCTCACAGTATTGAGTAAAGGCCAAGTATACCTTTATAACCTCAAACAGCGGCAGAGCTCATCCATGATATTTAACAGTAGCTGCTCATGGAGTGGGGGTAGGGCCAAAGAAAGAGGTTTCTAGCAGTCCGGCAAAGTTCTGTTTCTTGAACTGGGCTCTGGTTACATGATGTGCTTCCTTAGTGAAAACTGATCTAGATTCGACTCATGTACTTTCTATACAGTCAGTGCATGTATAAAACCAGCCCCCAGTTTTACTGAGATATAACTGACACAGAAGACTGCATTAAAAGGCATATGACATATTATCACAATGAGCTTAGATCATATTTCAAACCTTAAAAAATTATTTTTTTCACCTCAGGAGAACTTTTAAGATCTCTTTTAGCAACTTTCGAATATATATATATATATATCGCAATATTTTTATCTACAGTTAGCAGAAGTAAGTTACCCAGGACTAATTTATCTTTGAAACAGAAATTTATTCCTTCTGATGGTCTCCACCCCACACAAACTTCTGAAAACCACTAATGTGTTCTGTTTCTATGTTTATTATTATCTCTTAGATATCACATACAAGCATTCACTTTGCAAAAATTCATCCAGTTAACACTCATGTGCTCTTCTGTGCATGTGTTTTGGGTTGACATTCTCTTGGGTACCTGGTTCCCAGAGCACTAAAAAGGACAATGTAGACTGGAGAGAGAAAGTACATGGCTGAAAGTGCATTCTCTGAGGCACCTAACCCTGATGATGCCTGGCACCACATGGACCCCCAGCACTGCAAGGTGTGGGCAAGGAGGCCCCGGAGCACTATTGGGGTGCCCAGCCCTTGGTGCTCACCACAGAGCTGGGGTAGCACCTCCTCCTTGGGTCTTTGCATTGAACCACCAGGTCTGGTTGGCTGGTCCTGGGGCTCCATTAGAAAAAAAAAAAACAGAAAAGAGAGAGCAAGGAAAGAAGGGAGGAAGGAAGGGAGGGAGGGAGGGAGGGAGGGAGGAAGGGAGGGAGAAAGGGAAGAAAAGAGGGAGGGAGACAGACTGGGTCAAACACTACTGTGTATTTCCTTGAAGTCTAATCAACAGTCTGCATCAAAATGGCATGAGATTTTACGAGATTTTACACAGATTGCCACAAAAAGCCAGGAGTCAACTCTGAGGTGTTATTTATTTATAGTGTGTCTTATATACAACATTAAGCTTTGGTTTATTTCCCTACTTTAGGCTGAAGAAGTGGCATTAAATATGTAGCAGTGCTAAATGACTATGATACTTGACAGGAACATGTGTGCTGTGTCAGTACAGGAATAAAGGTTTCTTTCAGTCATCAAGGTTGGCTCTCTCTGTGGGTCTTGTTTCCTTGCTGATGAAGTTTATGCAGATAATCTATAATTCTGCCACAAATAAAATATGGAGGCTCCTTTATTTCCTGTGCCTCCATCTTGGTGCTGCAATTTACTGAACAGCTTTCCAGATGACAGGGATTAGGAACCTCCACAGAACACATTTGTTTATTTTTGGATATGTGCCAAATTGTTTAGACACTGGCCGAAAACAAATGTGCATTTCATTCATTAAAGAGGTTCACTGATATCCTGATTTTTCTCCTCGTTTCTCTTAAGGAAAATACTATAAACTTCTTAGTGGCTAATTCTAAGTTAATCGGACAATGGTAACAGCCAAAGAAAGGGAATGTGGTGTGATTCTTGAACCCCTTAATGAGGTATGTATGGGGAATAAGATCCACTGGTCACAGATGAAAACAAGTTTGCCAGACAAAGTGAAACAGAGCTACATGGGATCATCCAGAATCTTCACCAGACTACAAATAATTTCCAGCTTCTTCTTAGGCATGAGTCTGTAATGTGAGGCAAGAGAAACCTAACAAATATTTGTGTATTTTATTCTGCTGAATACATCCTTTCTATAAACCTTCTTCCTTCTATCCGCCTCTTTTCTTAAAACTTAGCAAAATTTCAAAGATATGCATCTAGTTTAAAGAAAGAGAACAGACCCATGGCTTCTTTTTAGTAAATTAGCACCTACTTATACTCAGTGAGAACAAAAGGATAATGAAGTTCTTTGTGTAATGCTTTATTAATGAACTTAATTATCTCTAGAAGACAGATAAAGAATCAAGCAAAGCCTGTTTTAATTCAATAATAATAATAAAAGCTTGGAGTGAGAAATAAAGGGACATTTCAGAGTACTAAAGAGTTTTAATATAACTAAGGGAGATGAATTAAATACAAGTTATATAAAACAATGTGTTAATTATTATTTCCCACAGGAAAGCATAGTTAACTATTCGTGTAGCATCATGAGAGTATTTTTATTAAAATGAAATAGACTTAAAAAAATAGTTGTGTCTAACTCATGTTTGCTTTTTGTTGATGTTGTTATTAGTCTGCTAATTTTGGGGGTTGGATTCTTTTTGCAGGGCCTTGGAGCCACCCCTGGAAGTCCTCAGAACACACTCCTGGCTGTGAGCTCAGAGATTACTCCTGGTAGGGTTCAACTGTACCAGAAATTAAACCCCAGTCAATCATATACAAGGCAAGCTGTTTAAACCCTGTACTAACTGTCTGGCCATGTTCCTTTGAAAAACTTCTGTATTAGATTTTTAAATAGCCTGTTTTAAACACCCCGCTTTCTAAGGTATTTTGTGCAAAATAAATTCAAATATCTCAGCTACATATTAAGACTCAGAGAGCTAAAGCAAACTGGGAAAAGATAATATTTTCTTGAATCACACAGCATAAAAATGTGGATTCTTTATATGGGATGGTTGACCTATAAATTACAACTTAGGAGTAACATAATGTTTTAAACTACAAAAACTTCAGAAAGTTCCCTCATAAACAAAGTATCTGATGTTATATTTTTCATTAGTCACTATCTTTTCTGGCTCTATGAAGAAGTCCTATTTTAGAGAGACTCACAAAGAAATCTCAGAAGAGATCAACAAGCTGCAGAGATACACCTAGATACTGTACCCGGCTTAATCTCATATCAGAGCACCCTGGAGAGGGTGGGTGAGTCCCACCAATGGCTAAACAGAGCCCCGGCAGCCAAAAACCTCCAGAACTCAATTGTCATCATGCTCACAGTCAATGTCCACAGGCTCAGATAAGTCTCATCCATGAATATATCTGCTGAAAAACTCAGGTATGCGGGGTTTGTGACTGAAATCTCCAGGCTCTCAAGGAGTCTGGGATCCGTGACCTCCCCTCATCTCCCTGTTCTTTTGGAAACCTGGCAGTCACGATGTCCATGAACTGTCCCTGTTGCCATAAAAACTCATTAACCTGTCATGATACGGAGATTCACAAAGAAATCTCAGAAGTTTTAGCAATATAGATATTTAGCATCTCTATGTTAAGCAATCGAGAGATGCCTCAGACCCCAAAGGCACCACCCAGTTAAAACTTTAACTCCAGCTATATCACCTTATTTAAAATTTTAGAATTCCAAACGTGCCTGGCCACATTTGTGACCATGGGACAAATGGTCTATACCACTGGTGTATCCGGAATAGCACAATACATTGGATATGATTCAAAGTAGAAGGCAACAAATTTTGATTAAAAGATATTAGTTCACAAGGGTCAACCTGTAACAACACATTGCTCGATTTGCTCGAGCGGGCCCAGTAACGTCTCCATTGGAGACTTTGTTGTTACTGTGTCTGGCATATCGAATATGTCACGGGGAGCTTACCAGGCTCTGCCGTGCGGACGAGATACTCTCGGTAGCTTGCTGGTCTCTCCGAGAGGGGCAGAGGAATCGAACTCGGGTCGGCCATGTTGGCTGCGTGCAAGGCAAACGCCCTACCACTGTGCTGTCGCTCCAGCCCAACAACACATTAGTAATCTTTTATACAAGGGCTTTAAGGCTCCAGGGTGAGATACAACAATCTTCATACACTATCTTTTAATGAAAGCTTTTTTATCATTTTTAGCAAATTATTCATAACAAGCAATACAAAATAAATTATTTAGGGTCCCTGCTACTGAGGCAGGCTTGAGTAATGGTTGGGAAAATTTAAAAAAATGGTGGTGGGAAGGTGTAATGGTGGTGGGCCTGGCGTTGGTGTAGTGAATATAAAAGATTATTGTGGTCAACTTTATAAAAATAAAGTAAAATTTAAAAAAAGAAGTCCTGTTTTATTGATATATTAGTAAAAGAAGTGGGGGAAACCAATATATTGTTATTTGCAATAATAAGTTTATTTACAACCACTTTATAAAGCTCTCATCTGTGAGGTCTCTTGGCTCACAAAAAAACAATTTTTTGTCCAATTATCTGAAAAAGTACACAATCTCAGAGTTTTAGGTAAACAAACATTGCTACTAAAATTATGACTACACATAAACATATTTCCTGTGGCTAAACCACTCACATGCAATGTACATTTTATTCACGAACATTTATGCATGCTTGTAAAAACTTCTTCCTAAATTACTGTCACTATAAACAAACATTTCAAAAAAATTCTTCCTGAGTACTGCATACCACTTAGCCATTTCATAAAGTTTATTAAGCATACAAGAATGTTGCAGATAATGTGGAGGACACAGTAAGAGAGGAAGGAGATAAGGTCCCTACTTAAGAGACATTTACAAATATTTAAGATATAGAAAAAACAACAATTAGTATTTATATACTACTTAGAAATTTTTCAAATTGCTTAGAGAAACACTATTACATATTTTCATGATGTGAAACAGTCCTTTACCAGAAAGGAGGTTAATGAATGCAGACAGATACATCTCGCTTCACAGAAGGGAAAAAATTCTGAGTATGAACTTTACCTCTGTGGCAGATAATCGCTTATCACCATTATCACTTCCAACTCCTGAATCTGAATCCTTCTTGCTGGGATGTCGATATTGAGTTGATTTAGAAAAAATAAAAATCACAAAGTTCACAAGGCAAGTCATTAAAGATTCAAATAACAGGCTTGCTATATACAAAGTACTATTATTGCCACATGGCAACAAATCAGCCCATGTTAAATGATTTTAAGAGGCGAAGCGAGTCTAATGAAAATCAGATGTGTGTGCAGTCTAAACAGAGAACAGGATAAATTCTTTGTGTTTGGGGGTAACGGGTTAACACTATGAGTAGACTTTCTGTTTTTCTTTTTTAATAATTAACATGTTCCTAATTTTATTCATTCTAGTCTATGAAAGCAAACAAAAACAATCCAAAAGCTTTATACCTCTTACATTCTAAGTGGCTTTTAAAATTTCTTATGTAGTTTTTTAAATAATTCTATAAACTGTTATCCAATAGCATGACAAATGTTTATGAAAATAACATATATATTAAGCATTATGATGCTTAATATAATATAATGCTTAATATATATGTTATTCTCATAAACATTTGTCATGCTATTGGATAACAGTTATATGTATCATATCATATGTGTGTGTGTGTGTGTACATATAAATATATCGTAAGGGAAGACTGAGGTTTGTAGACACCACAGTTGCAGCATTAGTAAAAGTTGAGGAACGATTTCTGCAGTGAGGATTTCTCAGGAACAAATGGTTTCTAAAAACTTTGTTCTCTGAAAACTCAAGGCCAGATTTATGCCAATAAAGGCCAACAACATGTGAAAGGATGCTAACACTTCCACTCAAAACAGGAAATAGAAAAAATTATGCCCAATCTATTTTTTTTTTGCTTTTTGTTTTGTTTTGTTTTGGGGGCACACCCAGAAGTGCTCAGGGTTTACTCCTAGCTCTGTTGTACTCAGGGATCACTCCTGGCAAGCTAAGGGGAATGCATGGAGATTGAACTTTGGGCCTGCCACGTGCAAAGAAATGCCATACCCAATGTATTATTGGTCTAGTGCTGTATATTATATTTTAAAAAGAATTTTAAAAATTATATCCATGGCCAGGGAAAACAGGGGCTAAGAGGACTGGTCAACAGTTGGAACTAACTACAAGTGTGTGTGGGGCTAAGGGTAGGTAAGATAGAGAAGAGACCAGGATGACAATAATAGCTTGGAATGATCCCACTGGGGGGGGGGGGCAAGGAGGAGGAGGAGGAGGGGGAGGAGGAGAAGGAGAAGGAGGAGGAGGGGGGGGAAGAGAAGGAGAAGGAGGAGGAGGAGGAGGGGGAGGGGGAGAAGGAGGAGGGGGAGGGGGAGGAGGAGAAGGAGGAGGGGGAGGGGGAGGAGGAGAGGGAAGAGGGGGAGGAGGGGGAGGAGGAGGAGGAGGAGGGGGAGGAGAGGGAGGAGGGAGCCTGTAATACAGGCAGGCAGCAGGTAGGGGTTGGGGGTGATAGGAGGAAACCTGGGGACTCTGGTGCTGGGAAATGTACACTGGTGGAAGGATGGATGCTGGAATACTGTATGACTGAAATCCAATCATTAACAACTTTGTAAGGGTCCATCTCACAGTGATTCAATAAAAAAGTTAAAAAAATAAAATAAAATTTAAGCCTGGAGCTTTTCTTATAAATACTACAAAAGTATCAGTCATCAAAAATATATCTGAGCTTGATATGGCAATTTTAACTGAGAAGTAAAAAACACTTATCTTTGTATTATAGTGCTCACTCACAAAGATATGTGTGTGCGTATACATATATATATGTATATATGCATGTAAACATGAATGCAGAGCATTCAAGAAGGATGGAATGTTGATTAGATGGTAGATAAAATCTGAAAGATGCCAAAATACTGTCAATAGAATCAATTTTCTTTCCATTCCCAAAGTTGCTGAAATTAGGCTCTGTAATTCTGTATAGGTTATATGAAGCAAAGGGACTTAGAGAGTTATTTCCCTGGAATACCTTGCCCTAAGTAGATTCTAGACAGGGGGTTTCAGAGTCAGTATTTATAGTTACCTGTCTTCCACATGCTGATGTAGGTGTGGCCTCTCCATCGTATGGAGGTATAGGGAGTCAGTTGTTTTAATCTGGCATGCTTGGATGCTCAGATACTTGAATATGTGCACTTTTCCCTTTGTGCAAATCTATGGAGAAAGGGAAAGTCTGTATATATATTCTATATTTTCTTTTAATAGCAGAAAGTTTAATTTTTATATATGTGACTACACATTTTAATTTCTGAATTAATATCTGAAGTAACTAACACTCTAATGATACACATAAAATTTGGCCTCTCTAAAATAGAGAAGGATTTAGACCATCTTTTTCTCCAAATTTCATTTTAAATACAAAAGCATATGCAAGAAATGTCTGGTTTTTCTTGCAAAGGACAATGAACTTCTAACAAAAAGTGTTTTAAGTATAATTCTAAAAGTATAGAAGTCAGGTAGATTATCTAGCATGTTCCAACCTTAAGAATATATATACATATGTACATATATATACATACATAGACATATATACATACGCTCCCATTTTGTTATATTAAATTATATAAACTTGAATCTTGTCCTTAAAGAACCAATATTCTTATTTCAAAATGTTTAAATCCCATTTTACAGCTAACATTCAAGACTAATGATTCTACTATTCCTTTTGTAAGGCATATGCTACAGTTTCAAATGCCTAAGAATAATAACATAATCAAACACCTAATTCTGGGATTATATGCTCACTCAGAACAGTGAGTCAAATGTTGGCCAATAAACTCTATGGAGCCGGATACAATGTACTTTCCACAGTTTTCCCCTCAAGGTTTTATCTTTTCATAGACTATGACAATATATGATCCTGCCTAATACAATATTAATTCCACAGAATACCAGAAATAAAACACTGTTGGGCAAGAGTTGTCTGAATGCTTTTAATAGTATATCCTCGAGGGTAATAGTTCTACCTGAGACCACTCACCTGTGCTGGGGGGGACTGCAGAGGGTTATTCTCCAGTAGTAATACTTGCAGCTGCTTCATCTCCCTAAAGCAAATGGGAATTACCAGCACTTTGTTGCAAGAAAAGTCAAACTTGACCAAGGGAAGATCTACTAATTCTAGAAGAAAAATAAGAAAGAAGAAACAAACTCAGAAATCAACAAGAGTCAATGGACAAGCATTCAAAAGAATATATGCTCATCAAGAGAAATGAACAAAAGGAAGTTAAAGAGTTTGAAATATATGTGCATATTTATATATGCAGTGTCCATATGCAATCGATTAAAAAGGGGGTTACTGTCTCACTGTAAGCCAAATAATTCTATTTTTTAATTAAAAATTATCAAAACAGATCCCAATCATTTAGTTGTGATAAGACCTAGAAACACTTGACACTGAAAACATTAATAGTATTCATTGTTTACAAAGGTTTTCTTTCCCCCCAATAAAACAATCAAAAAGCCACATTACACAGGGTACATTTATATTTTAACTTCAAAATACTTTCAAGAAGCATCTCTTGACTTATAACTAATACACTAATTACAAAGTGTCTTTATCTAATCAATGCATCTAGGCATCATCTCAGAAAGAGTCAACAGAATATGCCCGTGATTTTCTAACTCCATTTTTCTTTTGTTGTGTGCCACATATGCTCAGGGGCTGCTCCCGGCTCTACACACAGGCATCACTGCTAGTGGTGCCCAGGTGACCACATGCGATGACGGGAATTGAACCCTGGTCAACAATGTGCAAGGCAAGTGCCTTACCAGCTATACTATCTACCCAATCGCTCCAAGTCTATTTAAAAACATTAATGCTATCTTATTAAAGAGTTTTGAAATGAACCCTGTGATCCTGCTGGGATGCAGATTTATTCTTCTGCTTTAAAAATCTTTTCTGTAGCTCTACAAACAAGAACATTATATTTAGCTTAAAATCCCCACCCCGTGGCATAGTAAACACTGAGTTATTTCAAGTATTTCAATAGACAACAGCAGCTGATAGGAAGGAGGGCAAATACATTGCACAGAGCAAAGAGGCCAGGCCTAACGTGTGGGGTGACACAGGGCAAGTAAGTGACTACTGCCTAAATGTCAGGGAGCACTGAGGACTCATTTTAGAAGGGCCTCTTCACTTGTGTTTGGGACATGCTAAGGGTAAAACATACTAGTTTAAAGCACAAGGGGGTCCTACCTAGAGGAAGACAAGATTGGCATAAAAAACGACCCCTTGGCAGTGGCCTAATTAAATGAGAGTCACCCCCCTCTCCCTACGTGCTGCTTTACTCCACCTGCCTCTTCACCCTCCAAGTCACACCCAGCAAGTCTTTATCAGAAGCCAGGTTCCTTCTCTAAATTCAGCTTGCTCTGGGCTTATCAGGGACTTTCCTTCTTTCAGAACTCAGGGAAGTGCTTTATTTATAAAGTAAGAAGTAAATTATTACAATGGAGGCAGAGGAGCGGGCCCCCAGTTCAGTTCCCCGATAGAGACTGTGCAAAAGAAATCAAGAAAATTGGGTGCATTTTAAATCACCCCAATCCAGTTCTACCTCCACCCTACCCCAGAATCAGGATAAGTGACCTCCCTCTGGCCACTTCAGCCTGCAGGTGGCCGGGATGAAGAGGCTTTGAGCAGCAGGAAGGGTAAGAGGGAGTGAGAGAGCAGACAGAGCTACGTAGACTTGGAGGTCAACAGGGAATCCAGACACTCCTGAAGAAAAGAGAAGTAAGACAGTCCCTTTTTCACTCGCAGTCTGTTTCAAAAATAGGTGTAAGAACTGGAGGAACTATAAAGCAGAGGACTAGCTTCTTGGAGTAAACCCTGAGGATCCCTGAGAATAATACTTTGTCTCTGAGCTGGTTAAGTTGATTTGCAAAATTTAAGTTGACTGATTTGATGACAATATCCAAACTGGGTTCTGAGTATCTGGCAGCTCTTTGCCAGATAAAAGAAAGGCTTTTAAAGACAGACTAGGGTGTAAGTTCCTGGAAACGGAAAGAGAGGAAGGAGGCAAAAATGCAGGTCTGTGGAGAAAAGCATGGCTTCCATAATGACAGTGCCTATCATGTTCCCTTGGAACACAATGACCATCCTTAAGTTCATTTTTAGAAAATTAGAAATTGACAGTTTCAGAGCTAGAAAATGGAACTGAAAACGATAACTTCTGCCCAGGAGAGATCAAAAAAAAACAAAGCAGAAGGGAAAGAGAAATAGAAAAGAATGCATCCCTCCCTTATCTCAACTCTTTCACCCCCTTTTCAAAAACATACACACACACACACACTCTCTCTCTCTCTTTCTCTCATACACAAACATACACAACACACACACACACACACACACGAAGACGGGACAATGAATGGCTACTTAAATCTACTATATATTCTAGTCTTAGAAAAAACAAAATATGGTCTACTTATGCAGTAGTTGCAGTAAAAGGCAAAAGGGCAAAAGCACCACAAAACCGATACAGGCTATTACTAAGGGCCACAAACTGCTCCTTCCTCCTCAAATTAAAAGCATATGAGGAGAGGTGCTCAGGAAGGCCAAACAAGCAAGTCAATAGGGAGTTTTTTTTAACTCAAAGCCTGAGAACATTATCAATGTGCTTTTGTTAATGGTGTTGGGGGGGGGGGGGGGGGAGAGGAAACTTGATATTCAGGAAATTATTTAGAAAGAAAAAAATACACTTAACTTGTAACTTTGAGTGTATTTTAAAATATTTAAACTGAGAAAACATAATTATGGAACATACAGAAATTGTAGCTGGTCTTCCTAGGGAAAGGAATGCTTTTAAGGAAAGAGAATAAAGTGTGATGAGAGAAACGAAAAGACTAGATTTCAGCAGATGCATTTCTTTCTATACACTTCTAAACTATTACCAGCAACTGTAAAATGATTTATGTGAAATTTTCCCTTGGAAAATGAGGGTCCAATTATTTGTGATTATATTTTAATGATTAAAAGGAGAGCTTAAATCTAATAAAAATTTCTTTAACGTTATTAAAGGTTACATGAAAGGTTACAAATTTCCTGAGTGTGTTCCCTTTGTATTTGCTGAAAAAAAAAAAACTTATACATTAAAAAAAAGTGGGAATACACATGAAAGAAGAAAAACTCAAGAATTTTTATACCAAGTCATTTAAAAATAAAGCATGACTTTTTAGTGCTGAAAGTGTTATTAATTCTTTACTTTAAAATGTTAATCAGCACAATAAGGCAAAGATAGCAGGCAGGCACTTGCATCTCCTTTCCATAAAGCATATCACATTTACAGAGCTCTTATCCTTTCATGAGCCCCATTTACTTTTTGTTCTTATTTTTTTGCCTTTAACAATGATGCATTTTTTTAAGCAGTAGGTACAGGCACATAATAATAGGCACATAATAAACAGGCACATAGTAATAGAAAATCAGACAGGTCTCAAGTATCTCTTAATAGATATTTAATATCTCTTAACAGATCTCTTAATAAACCAAATGCAGATTATTTCCAAATCCATGTTTCTGTTTTGAGATCTACCTTTTAATTATTGCTTGTGTCCCTGATAAGACTAGTGTCCTGGGAATAAAAACGAAGGCAATCAGGGTGACCTGTGTAAACCAGAGTCTGTTTTGGAGAAAGCATTCCTTCTACGTTCAGCAGTTCACTGACTTAGTTCCGATTCCCGCCCAAACAAAAAAGTCCCCAAAAGAAAACTCAGAACCATTACCATATACAAAGAGACTTGAACAATGATTCAGGGCATCAAATTTTTGACTAAGATCATTTGACTTGCGCCCATAACAGTGTACAAGAGAGGCCAACACTGAATGCCCACAGCAGCGAGGGACATTCGGTTAAGTCAAGCTTGACTGAGGTATAGAGTTTGGGTGGAGGCCAGGGACTCAATGCAGGCAATCCCTGCTTCCAACCTTCAAGAAACAGTCTGAGCCTACCCATGACATCAGACCAAGAACTACTTCTGCGAGGCAGTGCCCTCATCTGAGAACTAGATTCAAGATTCTCGGGGTTCTGTGAATAAGGCTTTGTGAGTAAAGGTAGAACCCTAGAGAGCTCTGCAGTCAGATCTGCAGGATCAAGCATGCCAACTCCACTGCTGGCTGGGTGCTTTAGAAATTCACACACCTCCTCACCACAATAAATTTCTTTCTCCTCCTCTTAGATGATGTACCATCCAAATTCACAGGCCATTTAATACCCAGTACCTCAAAACATGGCTATATTTGAAGACAGGGTCTTCGGTAGAGTAATTAAGTTACTAAGGGCCTTAACTCAAGAGGACTGGGGGCCATTACAAGAAGAGGAGATAAGATGCAGAGGGGGAGGGGGGATGCAGAAGTCAAGGAGGAAGGCCTCCAAGAAACCAAACCAGTTGACACCTTGCCCCCAGACTACCAAACCACCTAAATTTCAAGAAAATGGATTTGTTGTTTAAGCCACTCAGGTCTCTCAGGCGTGGTGCCTTGTTAGATCGCCTGAGCAAACCAATACACACTTTCACATACACAGTCTTACATGGGGAATGGTTCTGTGTACAAGAGTGAAGCGGAAGTTCAGGCCCCCACACTTGCCCTGGGCACTTGCTAAGCCACTGAGCAAAGTTCCCGGCTCCCAGGAGTCACCTTCTTGACAAATGTCAACAAGCACAAAGATTTCTCTGATCATTCCACACCTCCTCCCACCAGGACCCTTCACTTTGTTACCTTGTGGCAAAACTTTCAGATAATTTCTTCTGACATTCAGTTCCCGTAGAGATTTCAATTGACCTATCTGCTGAGGCAAGGCTGTGATCTCATTGCAGCTGACATCCTGTATCAAAGGCAAAGAGAAAATATGATCAACACCCTTTCCCAAGAAATCAAGCCTTTCATGTGGCATCACCTCAAGGAACTTAAATTTTAGTGCAATTATACAATTTACGTTTATTCCAGTCTCCAGGTCCCCAGACAAGTAAAGCTGAGTACAGAAACAAAAAGGGAAGTTTAATGTTCCTTGCATCCTCTGGGGAAAGGGATAAAAGAAGAAAAAAGGATGTTAGTGGCATCTAGCAGCTACTTTTCTGGCCCTCTGACCTGCACTGTTCACACTCTTCAATTTTATTTAGTTCTCATAACATACTCATGTCTCATTATTCTGAGCCCAACAGGTCAGAAACATCAAGCTGTTAAAGAGTCAGAGTTACCTCTAGGAATGAACTGACAGGCACTGTTACGAGCTGAACTATGTTATGACACGAACTACACTCACACCTCTAAATACAAGACAATGCATCCCACGTGACCAGACACATTTGACAGTGCTGAATTATGAATGTTAATGCACTGTTTGGACACACTACTATTTTAAATGAATTCTCATCAGTGTTCTAAAAACTTTGGTTCTGAACATCTTTATATACTTTATACAAGCAAGACAGTAAACTCTGTGGATTGCAACACTTCTGCTTTTGAAGAACAAATACTCTGTGAACCTCTGACTAGAACCACCTCTTGATATAAGCAAAACACAGTCATAACATTTATATTCGTATATAACTTTATTATCTGCCCTAACCCCATTTCCTCTTGTTTCATTCTCCACCCAATAGCCCACTCCAGCTGTTCCCCTATTCTAGACCAGCATTATCTATCTCTCAGCCAGATGCTATGATGATCTTTCTGATTGGTTACATATACCACTATTCGCTTGGGATTCATCCTTCACCCCGAGTTGCCAGAATTTAAATTTCACATCATCCATCAGCTTATACATCTGCGAAAGTTTCTCAAGAATAGAAGGGTAAAGTCTCAAACTGTGAGGCAAGACCGTTTCCACAATTCAGGTCTATTTCTGCTTCACCATCTCTGAATGCCTTCCCTTGCCCCCTGTATTCAAGTCCCAGTATAGTTGCTTGCAAGTTGCACTGTGTCGGGTTTTTCACACTGCCAAGGTTTGCAGCGTTCTTTCCCTGCCCACTCGGCCATTTCTAATAATGCCCTCTTGTACCCCCACCCATCTTCCATTATTTGATTCAAGCTCACCTTCTGTCTGAAACTTTTCTCAAGACTTCCACCTCTCCCACTCTGACCTAGCACCCAAGAAGAACTAGCCACCTTTCCTTTAAGGTCCTATAGAGAGTCTGTGACCATATTCTTCTGCTCAAATGGTTGGCCTATCCTGAAAGCTTTGAGTCCTACCTGAAGGAGACCATGTCTTCTTTCACTTAATCTTCCTGGTGCTGACCATATTGCTGGGTATCAAGTAAGGGATCAAAGAATGTTGAATGAAATTTCTAGTCATATATGCTGAAGTTTCATGATGCTTATTTTGTTCTTGGTTAGGACCCCAGGATCTAGAATCATGTGCAACTTCAGGCTGTAAATGATTCCAGTAAGAGCAAGTCCTTAAATATTCTAAATAACTGTGAATGTGAATAAACAAATAACCTTTCCACTTCCCCTTTTTAGAAGGCAGCAAAGCTTTGTTTTGTAAAAATTTTTTGCGTTTGCTTAGAAGAGAAAAACTTATGAACTGTTGTTCTCGGACACTCCCAAGCTCCCCCAAGTTCCCCAATCTCCTTGAAAGAGTAAGGCAATACAGAACTAAGGGATCACTGCCTTCTAAACTCATCTAAAATGACTTCACTGACCTGAGAATCGCCTGAGGTCCTAAGGGTGCTAAATAAATGTCACTTGATGAAGAGGGATAACATCACTCCTGCTAAGGGAATCGAAGTTTCCGTTTACAAAGGCTAAGTATGTAAGTGTGATCAGTCAGGCAGGCTTGTCTGTGCTCAGCTGTGTAACATGAGGGGTGGGGGGTGGGGTGATGGCACATGACGGATTAAGACCAGTTTAAAGTCAACCATTCCCAACCTGGCTGCTGCTGCATCTTGCCTGGTCCAGAAAAGACACACACCCACCTTTTTAAATGAAAAACATCCTTACAATAAAAACAAACCCACAAGCACATCTGCAGACACATCAAAGTCTGAGGAAGCAATTATAAAATTAGGATGTCCAGAGATTTGTCCAGTCCGTTCCCCCTTCTCTGCGTCAGTAAGCTACCCTCTCTTTCCGAACAGATATCCATAGATGCAAAGTGAACAGTGGCATGCCATTTCTCAATTACTGTGGCATTTCGCCAGTCACGAATTAACAAGCAACTCTTTTCTGTGAAACCATTATCTTTTCTGATCATAACAAGGTTACAAATCAGCAAGAGGTACCATTGCTTCTATTTTAAAACAAGACTCCCACAATTATTACACATGTAAAGCCATAGAAATCTGTAAGATTCAACCATTGTATTAAGCTCATGATTTGGTACAGCAATACTGGTGATATCTGGAGGAAGGAAATTCTTGAGAATTATTTGTCATTGCTTAAGAGAATTCATGTAACTGACCTCTAAGTTTTCCTAAGTCTAGGAGTGACATTTTAAGAAAGACCCTTTTGAGATACACAAAAACTCTAAATCTGTAATGTATGAATTTAAGTCTCAGAAAATAATTTTGAAAAGTTACTCTCTAAAAATAAATTAGGAGAAAAGGGGAGCCAAAGAGTAAAAGGTGTGGCTCACTGGAAGAGCACTTGCCAAGGAGACACGGGTTCAATTCCTGGAACCATGACCCCCCCCCCAAAAAGAAAAGGGAAACAACAATTAAGAGATATATTTATAGGCAGTACACTTTTAGCTTGAACTCACAGAAGATGTAATTCAGCCATATCCCAGGTGCGCTGCATTCACCCTGGTTAGCTAGAAATAAGGGCACACTGTTTCCCTCAAAATAAGGTAAATTTTTCCAACATAGATTTCTGATATAATGGCTTTATCAAAAAAATCAACTCCTCCCAGCTAAATTTAAATGCTTATTTACCAGTAGGGAAATGGGGTTGCCCAATTTACTTTGTCTTCAAGTACTTCACATAATGATCAAAACAAGTTTTTCTTTCTGATTCAGAGGGCAGGACATCTGTAGACAATTAGAAGCACAAAGTCCAATTGTCCATTCAAATGTTGAATGATGTATTGTGAAGGTCAAATTATTTTAGTGGCCCTCTGCTCTGCTGTCAGATACTTCCCGTCCTGCCACAGTAAAGTGGCTTGTGGTGGGGCCGGGGGCCATGGCAGATCTAGCTCATAAGTGAAGACACTCATGAGTGAGAAAACTGTGCAAGCTGTATCCCCTCCTGGATACTGGAACTTGCCTAAAATTAAAATTAGAACCCTACGGGCAATTACGTCTTAATGACTTGGGGAATGAGGAGGTGGAAAGAGAGGATAATAGTCCAATAACTTCTGTACTAAAACATTTCAGTTCAGAAGATATAAAAGTCAAATTCCTAGAATGGCAAGGCTCTCCAAAATAGCGTTTGTCATCTGGGGGAGAGTGGGGAGTGTCACATGGCTCCTTGTGGGTCTCCAGGATATTCCCAGGGGATCAAGGTTGAAAATTTTAGAAACACTGGCCTAGAACATTATCTGCCCATAATTAACCTAAGATACTGTCTGGCTTTATTGTAGTGTTAAGTTAAAGAAAAAAATATTTTGGAATATAAAGTACACAAAACTAATGCCTAAACCTTCTGCAATTAGTTAGAATTGACCAAACTATGAATTCCAGATGCAGTGGTTTCTCAGAATAGTCAAATGAATCCCTTCTGAACTGTCTATTAGCCCTAAGCTATGTCTTACAGGATAATTATTCCAAGCTTCAGTAAAATCAAATCACCATATATTTACTATATGAGACCATAAGATGAAGCATACCCCAAAGAGTCATTATAAGAATGTCATAAATAGTTGCTAATTTTATTTTTATTATACAGAAATGAATCTAATAAATATATATATTGATATAAATGCTCAACATATTTATGAAATTAAATTTAATTTTATTATGAAAAAAATACTGTCACTGTCACTGTCCTCCCGTTGTTCATCGATTTGCTCGAGCGGGCCCAGTAACGTCTCCATTGGAGACTTTGTTGTTACTGTGTTTGGCATATCGAATACAACATGGGTAGCTTGCCAGGCTCTGCCATGCGGGCGAAAAAAATACTACGACCTAAAAACATATTTTTTCTCATTACTGGTTCAATCAACATGATTTTGGGTTAAAGAAGTAAAACCTTTACAATATGGATTCTCACTTCCTCACAACCCGTTCTAGGCAAAAAAATAAAAGAAGAAAAAGCCTACAAAAGAATAAAATGCATATTGGAAATTGCATATTGGAAACTGATAACATTTTTTGTTGACTAAGTACAGTTGCTAATTTACCTTCAGATAAAGGACAGAATTTAAAACATCAGAACAAAATTAGGGATCATTAGACTAGGAAAAGTTCATTTTTGGGAAAGCGTCATTATATAAACGATTAAAAGCATTTTGTTGTTTTGTTTTGTTTTGAGGCCATACCCCACACCGATAGTGCTCAGGATTTATCCCTGGCTCTGTGTTCAGGATCACTCCTGGAGATCCTTGAAGGGCTCTATGATGCCAGGAATCTAGCTAGAGTTGGCTATGTGCAACGCAATCACCTTAGCCTCTGTACTTAGCTCTCTACTCCCTCGAATTGTCTTCTTGAGGAGTGCCCTTCAGTGAAAACCAACATAAATACTATATCAAGATGATCTTGGATAGAAACTGCAGTGAGAGCAGGCAGACCAAGCCAGGCTGTGGAGTAGCACATGGCTTTCTCCTAAGCAACTTTGCTTCCACTCTGTTTTCTATATTTTCAAACACTGAATGTGGTTGCCTTATTGTATAACTTGTATTTTTTAAATACATTTAGCAGAACACTAGATGAAGGACAACCATGTGAA